GCTTGAGTAGAGAATCTGGCCATTGTCAAAACTCCAATATATACTTATTCACAAAAGGTCTCTGGACCACTGCCGCTTTAACCTTCGAGAAGGATTGTAAGGATGGGTGGTACTAGATATGGAATGCTCAAGAGTATTTGGATGATGGGTAAGGTTCTGGTGAAATTTGTAGAATTTTTCTGGGATATTAAGGTCGTGGTGTGGGGATGGTTACATAGAATGGAGGATCAACTATTGTTCGAAGGACTTTAGATTGAATGCATTTGATGTTAGAAAATTTTGCTGTCCTCCACAGTTCAAGTTCGTATGTCCACATAGGTTTCAGGATTGTCTTGTAGATAAGTAATTTGTTTTCAATAGAAAGTTTAGATTTTCTGTTTAGTAGTCCATATAGTTGGCCGTATCGTCGGTTGAGTTCTTGTCTTTTAAGTCTAGTGTGTGGGTTCCATGTTAATATTAGGTCTAAAAGAAAGCCAAGATACCGGACTGTGTCCGAGAAAGGAAGCTGAATGGAGTTAAAGTGTGATGGACAGGAGTTGCGTTGGAGTGTAAAGGTAATTGGTTGGCAAGGTAATTTATTGCACCAGTGTTCAATCAGGGATAGGTGCTTTTAAAGATTTAAGGATGCTATTTCGGGATCTGAGTTGGATGATAGGATTGCGGAGTCATCAGCAAATGTTGCGAAGAAGGTATCGGAATCAGCAGGGATGTCAGCAGTGAAGAGGATGTAAAGCATGGGACCCAAGACGCTACCCTGGAGAACACCGGCTTTGATAGGGTAAATATTGACAGGAGCGATCGAAGAGGTAGGATCAAAGTATTAGGTATAAAGACTGAGGGAGGTGGATTTTAAGCTTGAAGAGCAGCCTAGGGTGCCATATCTGGTCAAAAGCCTGTGCTAAATCCAGAAATGCACCCAAAAAGTATTGCTTGTTTTCTAGGGCTGCTGAAATAGGACTAACGTCTCGGAGACCTAGTTGAACAGTGGAGTGTTGTGAGCGAAAACCAAACCGATGGGAAGGAAGATTTTGGGACTCTATGAAGGGCAGGATTCGTTTCGAAATGATCTTTTCAAAGATTTTTGAAACGATTGAGAGTAGACTAATTGGTCTATAGAATGTCAAGCTGTTAGGAGGTTTGCCTGGTTCGGGAAAAGGATAATAGTGGAGTTTTCCATAATAGAAGAAAGTGGGTATTATATTCTTAACATATAAATCAAAATAAATGTTTTAATTAATTTATTAACTCAACTAACAACTTGTTTACATACTAACTAATAATAAACATATGTTCTTTTAAAACCATATGGTTTAGACAATTAAACTGCAACAGAAAATATGAACTAATTTACTTTTCACTAAAACACCAAAAATATTAAATTTAGAATATGCTACATCTCCCCTTTAAAAAAAAATAAAAATGTTATCGTCTTGCGTTAATCCGTCTATCACGTAGTTGCTCAGCATGTCTTTTCAGCGTTTTTCCTTCAACGTCGACAAAATAGGTCGATCTACCTATACATTCTTTGACGACTCCTTCCACGTACGTCTTCTTTCCGGTAGTAGGATATTTCATCACCCACACAGGCTGACCGGCATCGAAACTTTTCCATCGAGACTTTCTGTCACTTATTTTCTTTTGAGTGCTTAGCGCGACTTCCAGATCTCGAGATAGGTCTGGTTTCATCAAACTGAAACGAGTTCGTAATTGGCGCGTAAAAAGAATTTCCGCTGGGGTTCTATTTGGAGTTGTTCTGTAATGAAAAAGGAATCTCGTTAAACGTTCGTGTATGTCTATTTTATCACTCTTTGAAGCCGAAAAGCGACTTTTAAATGTCTGTACATAAGGTTCGGCCAATCCATTAGATTTGGGGTGATAAAGAGCTGTCGTAATATGTTTTATATTATTTGAAGTACAAACATTTTTGAAAGGCTCTGAAGTGAATTGAGGCCCATTATCAGACACTAAGACTTTCGGTAAGCCAAATCTTGAAAAGATTTCCCTTAATAGCCGAATCATTTCTGTGGAAGTGATACCATTTACTGGAATTACTTCTAACCACTTTGAGGTCGCGTCCACAAGTACAAACCAATATTTATTTTCAAATGGCCCAGCATAATCTGTATGCACTCTGGGCCAGACTTCATTTGGGATAGTCCATGAACAAAGTGGCAGGTCCGGATCGGCTGAACGATTTTCTTGACAGCTTCGGCATTTCTGAACATATTCATCAATGTCGGAGTCAATTCGCGGCCACCATACGTGAAAACGAGCAAAAGATCTCATGGCTGAAATTCCAGGGTGTCCTTGGTGCAACATTTCCAAACACGATTTTCTTAGTGTTGACGGAATTATAATTCGTCCTTTCCATAGCAACGTTTTATCCTCGAAGGACAATTCTTCTCTTTTGTCATAGTATGGCAAAAATTCCTTCGTTATTTTTTTTCGATCAGGCCACCCTCTTTCGATGAAACCTAATACCTTCAGCAAAACAGAATCTTTGTAGATTTCTTGTCCTAATATACTCTTAGTTAATAGTAATCCTTCTCTTCGAATGTGTAGCACTTGTTTCCCGAAGTCCTCCGGTCTGTCGCTTTCAATGTTCAACGGTAAGCGTGACAACATGTCTGCTGCCGAATTGTCTACTCCTTTAATATAATCGATAGTGTAGTTATATGCACTGAGTGTAAGAGCCCAACGAGTCACTCTATTAGCTGTCATTTTCGGAAGTTCTGCATGCTCTCCAAATAACCGAACGAGTGGTTTATGGTCCGTTTTAAGAATGAAATAGTTGCCGAATAAATATTGATGGAATTTGGTTACTGCAAACACTAACCCGAGTGCTTCTCGATCGATTACTGAATAGTGTTTTTCCGATTTAGAAAGTTTTCTTGATGCATATGCAATGGGTTTTTCAGAACCATCTGGAAATCTGTGGCTTAGAACTGCACCTAATCCGTTTTCGCTCGCATCTGACGATACTACTAAAGGTAAGTCTGGGTTGTAATGTACAAGTGTTGCCGATGAAGTTAGCGTGTCCTTTAAAGAAGTAAATACTGTTTCTTCACTATCTGTCCAACTCCATTTTACTCCTTTTCTTAATAATCTGTGTAACAGAGTACATGTTCCTTGGAGATTTGGTACGAATCTTTGATAATAATTAATAGAGCCGAGGAATGAACGCAGTTCTTTGACATCAGATGGCGAGGGCATTGATTTTATGTGTTCGTTTGTAGGGTGAATGCCGTACTTATCTATCCTATGGCCAAGATAAACGACCGATTGTTGAAGAAATTTGCATTTTTCCATGTTTAATTTCATACCTGCCGTAGACAGTCTCTCCAAAACTGCCTCGAGACGTTTGAGATGTTCTTCTTCATCTTTCCCGCTAATAATTAGATCGTCTAGGAAGCATGCTACTCCTTCTAGTCCTGCCATCTTTTGGTCCATTATCTGTTGAAATTTTTCCGGTGCGAAATTTACTCCAAATGTTAGTCTTTTATATTTAAAATAACCTAAGTGTGTTGAAATTATAAAATATTTTTGTGAATTTTCATCTATTGGTATCTGTAAATAGGCATCGCGCATATCAAGAACCGAGAAAACCGTACCTCCTTGAAGCGTGGCTATAATATCTTCGAAACGCGGCATTGGGTGTTGATAACTTGAGATGTAAGGATTTATTGTTACCTTAAAATCGGCGCAAATCCGAATTTTACCTGTTAGTTTGATGAAGATTACAATAGGTGACGCCCACTCAATAGCTTCGACATTCGTATCAATTGGTTCAAGAACCTCTTGATGTACCAAACGGTGAATCTCCTCTTCAACACTTCCACGAAGAGCAAACGGGACTGGTCTAGGTTTAAATACTTTCGGTTGAGCATCATCTTTCAAGTGAACAACTGCTTTATAGTTTTTTATTTTGCCTAAGCCCGTTGAGAAAATCCCTTTAAATTTGGATAACAACTTATCCATTAAACCATTAAATTTCTTATCTTCTACATTTGGTTTTAGATGACAAATACGTGCCCCTTCGGGTAGCGGTAGATTAAATTTTACAACCCAGTCCATACCAAATAATGGAGTTTCATCTTCTTGTATAACGGTAACGGTCAGAGTGAGTGTTTTCCCGAAAGCATTAACCTCAACGTTTTTCCTAGTGTTACCAGCAGTAAATTTGTGTAAGCAACAAGGTTATGTGTGGGCGGAAGTTCTGGTGATCCTAACTGCTGCCACGTTCGTTTACTAACAGACTCAGCAGCTCCCGGTCGTATAACATCTCTAGCATTTGGAAATTTGAATTCATGTTACCACGAACATTTACATCAAGCATCACTTTTGTTCCATGTGAAACATTTATCATGTGTTATTACCATAACTTGTGTAATAAACTGTAATAATTTATAATTTCCTTTCCTCCTTGTCAATTTAATTAGCAAGTGTAAACGTCTTTTATACACCTCATAGACAATTTTTAAAAAAATCTCATTTACTGATGTATCTACATATGTATTTATTACATTAAACTTTGGCTTCGATTACTATCAACAGTGAACAGATAGCCAAATAAGCTTTTGGTTTTTAAATTGAGATGCTCATTTACAAGCCAAGTAAACAAATTTAAAATAATAGTCTCTCGTGCTGTAAATGTTCCTCTATATGAAAACTTCTTTTTGGAGAAAAAACAGACATCAAATGCCAGAATATGCATTTTGTTTTAAATTATCATTATCATGAAATGAACAATAATAAAACTCCTAATACAGAATGAACATAAGGTAGAAAAATACCATAACTAATCATTTAAGAATCTGAAAACATGTTTGAATAAACCATCAAAATAGAGTGTAAAACCTTATTAAAATAAAAATTGTTATAAACTTATTCTAAAGCCTGATATTTAAAGCTAACAGAACTTTGATTACCTTTGACTCCACTTACTTTAACCCATACAGGAAACATTTATTATGAAAGGAATGAATCATTAAAAAGCTAAGTTATTTTTGTAAATATTTTATTAGCAAAATATAAAATAAAATTTAAATAATAATAAGAAAAGAACGGTATTAAAATTTTGAACTGAGAAAAACAGCAGACACATCGTGTCCACCATAGCCAACTTTCTTGGCGTGTTTAAATATCTCATTAGTTGTTGCTGTCACAGGGGTTGGTTGTTCAATTTCTTCACCCATTGCAATTACACTCTGTAAATTATTTTGCATATTTTTCAATGACATGCTGGTCGAATATTCACTATTAACCATAGCTAGAAAAAAAAATTGTATTCTTAATAAAATTAAATAATACAAACTAGTAATATAATTTTTTAATATTTTCAAAATATTTAAAATTATTTAATGAATTATTATCAATATTTCTAGATAATACCAAAAGAACTATTACTTCTTCCACTGGTCGTAAAGAGAAAATAAAATAAAAAGGTTTATAGATATTTAAAATAAAATTTCTCTAATAAGCAGAAATGAAACCAAAAACCAACAAATGAATATACATTATAAATATTTTTATTTACCCGTAGCTTTTTCCACTATTAATGGGCAATTGATTTGTGAAATTTTAATGATTTCCAGAACATCTTTTGGGTCAAGACCAGCTCGGTCTGCTAAAGCCATACATTCTCCAAGTCCGGCGAGAGCAACTCCTGCCACTGACTCGATTATTAAATATAATCTAGAGGCATTGCCAGTCTCTCCTGAAATTTTAAATTATTACGTTTTCATATAAATATAACAAAGTAGTAAATTTCTTTGTTGAATATGAATAAACAATTCTATTGTTGTATTGGTTCTAAGCCAAAAAAATATAAGACTTTGTACAGAAAGTTTCTGAGGAAATTATTAAAATGAGAGAAACATACAAAATATATATTCAGAAATAAGATAGTACAAAGTGCAGGGATAGCAGCTGAAAAATTAAGAAATCAATACAATATTATTTTAAAACAAAGTGATGAAAGAAACAGTAGAAATCATAAAATGAACTAATTCATTAATATAATTAATCATACTAGTTGATTTTTTTTTTTCATTCTTCTGGTATGGAAGAAGAAAGCAGACATTAAATCAATACATATACATATATAATAAATAACCATAAAAAAAATAAATTACTACTTACAAAAGGTTACATAGAAAAGTAAAAGTATTATAAACATTTATTTGAGGTGACAAATACAACCACTCAACCTAGTGATTTAACAAGAGAGCGTTATTCAATAGAATATGGATCTAATTAATTATGATTGAATCAATAAAATTAGATCAATCGGATAATTCAACAATTTACCTATAGCCTTTGACATGATTTTACAATCTCAATACTTTAGTATGAGTATGAATGCATATGAGAGTAAATATTGAATATTAACTAAGTTTATTAATTTTTAAAATTAAAAATTCTGAAATACTTTTTAAATTCATTAATTTTTCACACCTGTAAATGTGGATAAGGTTGTATTTGCATTTGTGAATAAGAATAGTGATATATTCTTGTAATCTTATGGATAAATAATTTTATTTATTGAACATATATTCATATTTCCACTAATTCACAGATCTGAATTCAAATATTTACATTTGTATTAACATCTTTAAATGTGAATATGCTCGGATTTATGAGTGTCAATAACAATACTATCATTTTGACATAATCTTAAGAATGAATATTTGGTACTTCTTGTCTAAGGGGCCGCTACTGACTGCTATCTGCCAATGTTTATAACCTGAACACTGATAACTCCCATAAGCAGAGATAAGCCTTCTCCTACTTCACATCTTCGTATTATTGTATTAAATTCCTATTATTGAAAGTGTAAACAGATACAAAAACAAATGTAATAACAACAAAAATACTTTTATTTGACGACAAATATATTAATGAAATAATAAAAAAACACTTTAAGAAGATACGTACATATAAAACATCAAAATGAAATAAAAAATATCAACACTATAAACAACATATATACAAATTATTTTAAGTTAATTATTCACTTCCTTTTGTCTTATTTATTTTGGAAGGCAAAATTGTTTTATGCTATTCAACACAAACGGGCCAAAAGTAAACAATTTAATAAGTGAACGTAATAAGGGAATAACTGAAAACTAAACAATGCAATAACTCAAAAGTTTGGCGGGATAAGAAGAGGGAGGTTATGTGACATGATGACATGACGTTAGATAAGATAGATAAGAAGTGAGGAATATTTTTATTATGACTAATGTTCTGTGACAAACTTTCAAATGGTCGATATAGTGGCGTTGCTTTCCCTTTCAAGTTATTTGTTACCTTGTTAGATACCATTATTTGTTTAGGTTTTTCCATGATGGAAATTTTATCTGTCTCCAGTGCAGTAGCTCCTTTTAAGTTATCATATAACAGCCCATTCGGGGAAGGAGGTGTATTATCTCTCGGAGCATCAAACAGGGCAGATATGCAGAAGCTTGTAATTTCAAAGTAATTTAACATAGGTGAAGGTTGAAGTGAAAGAAATTATCTTTTACAGGATTGACTCCAAGAAATTACTTTTGCGACTTCAACAACAAAACAGTTAGGCCTAAAGAATATAAAACCAGTAAAACAAAAACAAAAATTAGCACACAATTTATGTTAGTTTGCAAACATTTAATTTTTTTTTTAAAGATTTCAAAATTTATTTATTCCAATTCACTTTGATCACATAACTTTAGAAAACCTAACCATATCGGTACTTATAACTTGATGTTAATAAAAATAGACATTTATGTAGAATATTTGCTAAAATTATTACAATATTATTAAACAGCTTGATTTAATAAACCCATTAAAGCCCCCAACTATTTCTGACTTAAAACAAAAAAACATCTATTTTGAAAAATACCTAAATATATTTATAAATATACATCCTATCAGAATGAAACTTGATTTTAGGAGAAAATCATTTGTTATTGAACCCCAGAGAAACCCCTAACATACATAACATAACAGCACACTTTACAGACAATAATTTAAATCATCAAACACATTTTTTTTTTTGTCTCAAAATGGGTTTATTTTGAGTTGATGCAGTGCATATTTTTGTCACGTGCTCTATGACAAGGAAAAACAGTTTTCTTATTCATAAGGAGGTGAAATTTTTCTAATAGTGGGAATAAGTATAAGGGAATACAAATATTAGTTTAATAAATAAGAATAATCATTCATAAGATTATATGAATACAAGCGCATTCACATTCACAGATATCAATATTTGTATAATAGAAATATCTGTATCCACACTTGTTAATACGAATATCTATACTGCTCAAAAATTAATAGTGATATATCTGATTGATTCTTATTATATTCGTTTTAATTAAAATTCCCTATTGTTTTGTTTATTAAGGATTTTCTTATTTTCTTAGTAAACAACAAGTTTTCTTTATTTTTAATAAATTATTAACTAAAGGATAGCCACCATGAAGAATACTCATTGTGAAAACCAACAATTGTTTTAGACCTTTCTCAATTTTGATACAGTACTATTCTGTTTAACAATGGTAAGCCATCACATTGAACCAGAAGTTTGGAATATTATGATGAGAATGAGCGGTCAAGAGTAATGGCAAGTGAATATTGCCGATGTAGTTGGCATCTATCTGAGTGTGGTCTCATGGGCTTTAGCCAGATTCAGAAAAACCAGGAGTACCAATACAAGACCTGTTAGTGGATGTCAGCGCATTAAGACACCAATAGGTGACAGAAATACTGTTTTACTGCAAGAAGCAACCCTTTTCATAGTGCCCGACAGAGTCTAAATGAGTCGAATGTCCTGCCAAGGTCTATATCAACTCAAACCATTCATTTGTGGGAAGTTGGTCCAAAAACAAAATGCGGTCTCATAGGAGAAAAGTTGTTAAACAATCTCTTGAAAATCTGTGTATTTCACATCTGCCCATTTCTGCATTGTCGTTAGATCTTAATTCCATAGAGCATATGTGGGATGCATAGCAGAGAAAGCTTTTAGACCACCATCCACAACCTCTTAACCTTTTGCAACTGGAAGCTTACTACCACGTTTCAGGATGAAATTCCTTGTGAAATCAATGACAAAATTATAAACAGTATGCACAATCGGTGCAGAGAGGTAGTGCGGAACAGAGGATATTATACAAAGTATTAAATTATACAATATTCTTACGATTCAAAATTATAAAAAAAAAATCATGAGAACCATTAATTTTATCATAATTTTAAAATATCTTCTATACAATTTCCAGAGGTCAAATACAATCTTATCAGTATTAATTTTCAATGCATTTGATAATAAAAATAAAATGAAAATTTTAGGAAAAATAAATCATGCATAACTAACAATATCTCTATTTATTTTTGAGCAGCATTGAATATGAATATATTTGTATTAACAGAGAACCATCTTTACAAATATACTGTATTCATAGATAACCCTCTTTGTGAATATATTTTTTACTCATACTAATGAATACAAAAATTCTAAGCTCAGATCAAATCAACAGTTAAGACCAGTTTACTCTCTTTACCACGTGAGGATAATCCTGCCTGTTTATTTAGAGAAGGATAAGCCTGTTGTTTGAATCGTGTTTCTACTCGTTTTAAGTTGTACAAATGACTTTAAAGCCTTATGAAATAAAATAACTAGAGCAGGTTTTGACTAGGTATAGATCATAGCAGTTTTCTGAAAAGTTACAGGTCGATGGCGACGATGAAAGCTATGAATATGCGAAATAATATCCCAATAAAACAGAATGATGTATAAAAATTGTTGTCTTTTGTGAAGAAAAATAATATAAACTGCTCAAAAACGAATAGGGATATTTATATTTGATTCATTTTAATTAAAATATTTGTTTTTTTTGTTAGGCATTTTCTTATTTGTTGGTAAACATAAAAAGTAAACAACAAGTATTCTTTATTTTTAATAAATTATTAACTAAAGGATAGACAACATGCAGAATATTCATTGTGTAAAGTAACAGTTGTTTTCAACTTTTACCATGTTTAATCCAGCAATGTTCTGTTTAACGAAGGAAAGACATCATATTGAATCAGAAGTTTCTTAAAGACAACCCAAAGTAACAATGTGTCACCAGCAACTCCGCTGATTATGATGGAGCGAGCAGACGAATCACTTTTCTGTGTGTTACACTATTTATTAAATTTGACACAATTTTTACAATTCATAATGATAAAATTTAAAAAAAATAAATAAAAGAACACAAATGTTTTTTATTTTTTTAAAACACGTGTTATAATTTTTTTTTCAAGGTTAAATACAATCTAATTTGAATTAATTTTCAATGTATTTTATAGTAAAAATAAATAAAAATTCTAAATAAAATAAAATATGCATAACTAACAATATTCCTTTTCATTTTTGAGTAACATATTTCCATAGAATTTTAATTGAATAAGAATATATTTGTATTAACAGGGAACTATCTTCCCTGTACAATTATCACAAATATATTGTGCATTTGTATTCATAGATAACCAACCCTCTACTAATGAATACAAAAATTTCGAGCTCAGATTAAAAATAAGCAGTTAAGACCAGTTTACTCGCTTCACCAAGTGAGGATAATCATGTCTTTTTATTTAGAGTAGGATAAATCTGTTGTTTGAATTGAACATGGTATGAAAATTTTAAATCTAATTTCTGAGAAAATGTAACATAAAGTGTCAAAAACTTGGAATTTTTGGATGTAAAATCATGCATGTTCAATAAATTATATTCCTAAAAAAAAATTATTGATAAATCAAACCTTCAGTAAAAATATTGTTAACCCTTCAGCCATATCTATATGATGGTCACAAATCTTCTGGTTAATATTTTCCTGAAACTGTAATGCTGTTTCTTCATTCTTCAGTTTTTCGGCATTCCACTTTTTCTTGGGCACACAAAGTGCTACCTTGGCTGTCCAAATTGTTTGTTTGAATTTCATCACTACTGGGTAGTGATCTGAGTCAATACCAGGACCTCTGAAGCTCCTGACATCTTATGCAACTGCAATGACTACTATTAACACAAAAGTGGTATATTCGGTTAGCATTTTGATCATCAGGGGTGTGCCATGTTTGTTTATGGATATTCTTATGAGCGAATACCATGCTTATTATTACAGACATTTTGGAAGCTGCAAACTGGATCATTCTTTCCCCATTGTCATTTGTTATGCTATGCAGGTTATGATTTCCTATTGATGGCTTATAAACATCTTCTTTCCCAATCTTGGCATTAAAATCTCCTGCAATGATTTTGATGTCGTACTGGAAACATGAATCATAAACATTCTCAAGCTTTGTGAAGAATCCTTCTTTCATATTTTCATCTTTATCTTCTGTGGGCGCTTGAATATTAATAATTGTGACATTAAATAAGCTCCCATGTAGTCATATCATGCAAATACGGTTATCTACCAGTTGGGAATCGATTACAGCATTTTGGAATTCTGTTTTCATTACGAAAGCACATCCAAACTCGTGCCGATTTTTACTTCCACTGTAATACATTGTGTAGTCTTGCTTATTAAGCATACCCACTCCTAGCCATCTTACTTCCTGAAGAGCCACTATACCAATATTATATTTAGTGCACTCTAGTCAAAGTTCATCAAAGGCTCCAGGTCTAAAGAGTGTCCTCACATTCCACGAAACCAATTTATAAATTGAAGATTTCTATTTGATGTGTGGAGGGTCATTTCCATTGATCAGTCCATAATCCGAAGCTATTTTATTTAGTTTTCTTAACAAGGCGTTTTTTTATATATAGATGGGGCTGTTAGCCCCATGCTAAACCCCGCATCCTTTACCCGGGCTTAAGATAGATCTTAACATAAGCGGTCCTTTTATGGGGTTACAATAAAAAAGGTATACACATAAATATATAATATACAAATAAACTCTATTAATTTAAACTTAAAGAAGGCTCAAAAATGTAAATTAATCATTACTATACAAGGAAAATTAAACTGTTTACTGACCCATAAAAAAAGATTGTTTGCTGCAGGACTGATAAAAGAACTGACAGTCATTGTATAATGACTCATCTCCAGCACTTAAGCAAATAATGTTTCCATTCTCTGCATCTTTTTTGGTACCATGGAGACGTACTTCTAAGTAGCGAGATCCAATGGAAAAAACAGCCTACAAAAATATGTACTTAATTTATTTAATTTGTTTCCAAATTATATTTCATGATTAACTTTTGGTTTTATTTCTAAATACCTTATAAAATGGAACAAACTAATCAATAAATGATAACAAAACTCCTTAACACAACTATTTATAATTAACTATATCCTAACATTAAAACTTGAACTAGACAAATAAGATGAATAAAATTTTATAGTGAATTACTAATTATCTAATTTTATAATATATTCTACAAAGAAAATATAAAACTTAATATGAATATTTAAAGATTATAAACACTGTAACAATAATAGTTTTTATATACCAGATAGTAGAATAAACTTGTTTAACAAATGATAGTTAAATTATTGAAGAGAAGACCATCACCATTCCAACAATACCTCACCCTTAATGATTCATCTGCTGAACTGGTTTGTAGTGAGCACGTCAAAACTTTAATTTAACATCTAATTCAAAAAGTCAAAGAATGATAGTTAAATTAAATTGCAGTTTGTAAAACTTCTGTATTTACCTCTGACATATCCAAAGACGATTGTACATCACTACTTGAGAGGTCTATAAAAGATTTCTCAGGAGTCATATGCATGATAACACCACCATGGCTGAACATCAGCTTCAAATAAATATAAAGTGAATAAGTAAAATGCACAGTTAAATTCATAAACAAGATATTAAATTTACAAACCACTTAATATTTACTAACCTGTTTCGCCGCTTTACCATCAGCCACACAACAGAATATAAATTCTGAAGCTATAACAACTTCTGCAGGTGAAGTTGCTATTCTGACTCCAATATTCTGGAAATCGGTCAACTAAAAAATAAGGCAAAAATATGACAAAATTGGGAAAAAGAAAATATTTAGATAAATGTAATGAAAAAGTTTATATATTATATACCACATACTTACATTATAATTATTAATTATAAATCCTCTACTGAGTATTAAAAATTAAATTGCATTGAACAATCGAATACTATCACATTATTAATGGAAAAATCAATCCATACAATATCTTGAGAGAAATAGGATAACTGATAGATTTGTTGTTCAGTAATTAAACCACTCCCAATCCTATTAAAATGTATAACCATGTGCTTGTTTACTATGTAATTTTTCTATCACCCACAAACCCACATTTTTGTGTTTATGGCTCAAAACATTGAATATTTCTGGTTTAAGACTTCAATAGGAATAATTTGTAAATATTTTAGAAACTAAAGGTAAATCCTGTAAATAATTTTCAATAAACATACTCATTATTAAACAGACCATAGTACTAAACATTTGTCTAACTAATGTACTCATACAAATCTCTCCCCAATGGTATCAACACAAATCACCACTCCCACAATATCTCACCCTTAATGATTCATATGCTCAACTGGTTTTAGTGAGCATGTCAAAAAAATAATTTAGCATCTAATTCAGAATACATAATGGTAAAATCTAGTAAGTAAATCATTTGAATTTCCCAAGCACTTTTAGAGCATTACTTCACATATATAAATAATAGACAGAGTGAGCAAGCTTCACATGGGTAGAAGAATTTTTATGGACTGCATGTGAAAGTACATAGATGTCTGCTGCAGTGTCAATCTTGGTAATCAGAGGCTTACTTGCCACTAAATGTAATTTGAATGGTATAAAATAAACTAGGTTCTTATATATGGTTCTTCTCAAGGTTACCACGTCCTATGCCCCTATTATTGAAATTTAAGTTCTTATTCAAAGATAATTTATCTGTGGCACCTATGAAAAGTGTGTTAAATGCAATTTTGTAAATTTTTATGAGTACAACCAGAAAGCTAATTTTTCTGTTTTTATTTGTGTCTAATTGGCTAAGTTATGCGGCTATCACAGTGATAAACATTCTTTGTGAATCATGGTTTGAAAACAGAGATAGGCAAATGCTACACTGAATACAAAGCACCAAGTATTTTATTCAAATTGAATCACTATTGGGAATTCAGTCACTAATTTTTATACATAATATAAACATCCGAGACTCTTTAGGGGGTTCATCGCCCCCTCAATCAAAATGAAAAGTTTGCACCTATGCTGACAATATAAGTTCTCTCTGCCCTACCCTATTTTCTTTATAAACCTGTTTTGTAACAAAGTAGTTTAATAAGTACAATGAAAATACAAATTAAAAATATATATATATTATTAACAGTCAAGAAACTAGTATTTTTAATTTTGATTAAAATTGTATATGTGTTTGATTATTATTTATTCATTTTCGTAATCGATTCATTCCATTGAAATATTTTTTAAACAATTTGATACTTGGCAATAGAGAAAAACCCTCTTACTCAGGCCGCTGCGACTCAGACACACTGGCTGCTCCGTGCATGTGACTGTCACAGTTGGGCCCACGGACGGATCTACGGGCCCGGGGCTTCCGGGCTGAAGCCCCCTCCAAAATGGTAAAATATAACCATGTTTTATGGGAAAAAAATATAAAAAAATTATCTCCTCAAGTATTATTGTTCGTGTAATTACATTTAAAAGGACTTAAGGAATCACTTAAACACCATTTCATATAGATAGCTAGTTTCTTTCTTTTTTTCTAAAGTAAATATCCCCTATGTCATTTTTACAAAAAAAGCTTTCGGGCTGAAGCCCCCCCCGCCCCAAAAAATTAAATACTGGATCCGCTAGTGGTTGGGCCTTATCTGTATTCCACTCCATTTATATGGCATTCTGATGAAACAATGCCTTCATAAATTGTAGAGACGATGTAGAGAAATCAATTATTAAATGATTTGTCTATTTTAATAACATCTAAATTAAAATTTTCTCCAAGCTAGAGTAAGTTAATTAAAATATTTGGAACATTAATTTTAGTTAAAATAATTATTCTAGAATTATTTTTATAAAGAATATTATATGTTTCCACTATTTAATTCTTATTAATATTTTTCTCTTTTTTATTTCTTACATTATTCAGGTTCTGTATGATATAATTTGCATTAATTCAGGAAATATTGCCATATTTATTATCTATCTTTTAAATTAGATTAAATAATATATACCCTTAAAATTTAATATATTTTTATATAAAAAATTATATTTTTGAAGTAATATTGTAACTTTATATATGCTTTTAGTTTTTTAGTAATTGTTTTTACTTCAATTTATTTTTTTCAATTTGTATATTACCGAATGTTTATATTTCTGTTATATATTTTTTTCTCTTTAAATATAAATCAATTACATTAAGTCTTTACGGTTTTATATTTAATTATGTTTACCCATTATAAATTAATTAATAAATTCATCAATTTATGAATTCATGAAATCTAATTTTACTTACCTTTTATGTCGATTTTCGAATTTTATAGTAATTTAATCAATACATAAATATTTCTCTTCAAAAATATGTAGGTATTTTGATATTTATACAATAAATTAAAATATATTGGAGCAGTGGAGTACTGAGAAGGCCCAACTGTGACAGCGGAACGGTGGAGCAGCGTAGTACCGATAAGGCCCAACTGTGACAGCGGAACGGTGGAGCAGTATAGTAGTCATAAGGCCCAACTGTGACAGCGGAATAGTGGAGCAGCGTAGTACCGATAAGGCCCAACTGTGACAGCGGAACGGTGGAGCAGTGTAGTAGTCATAAGGCCCAACTGTGACAGCGGAACGGTGGAGCAGTGTAGTAGTCATAAGGCCCAACTGTGACAGCGGAACGGTGGAGCAGTGTAGTAGTCATAAGGCCCAACTGTGACAGCGGAACGGTGGAGCAGTGTAGTAGTCATAAGGCCCAACTGTGACAGCGGAACGGTGGAGCAGTGGAGTACCGATAAGGCCGAACTGTGACAGTCACAGGCACGAAGCAGCCCGTGTTTCTGAGCCGCAGCGGCCTGAGTAAAAGGGATTTTCTCTATTGCCAAGAATCAAATCGCTTAAAAAAATATTTCAATGGAATGAATCAATTACGAAAATGAATAAATAATAATCAAACAAATACAATTTTAATTAAAATTAAAAATACTAGTTTCTTGACTGTTAATAATATATATTTTCTGTGGATATTGATATTCAACGAAACAAAGCACATTATTGTTTTAATATTCACAAATATGATTTATGTATACTTATATATATCGGCGGGTTATTGTGAATATACGAAGTGTATTTTTGACATAGGTTGATTTTCAAATATGCTTTTTGTGAATTTCGACTTTACTTTTCGATATAAAATCTCTGTAAATGCATGGAAATGACACAAATCCGTTTATATATTTCGAATACAGTTATAAGCTCACTATTTTCTGATTCCATAAAGGGATTAATTATTAAAAGTAATAAACTATTTTTTTTGCAATAAACCTACTACTTATTAATTAATTAATGGACAAGAGGACTTTTGGTTAATAAATATAATATATAACAAATTAATATATTCATAAATTAAATAAGGAAATGGATAAGAAGACTTTTGTCACTGGACCGATAAGGTCCGAGGGAGTGGAACAGTTTGTCACAGCTCCAAACCCAGACTCTGTTACACGTCACTGCTCCACCAGTACCATCACATCCCTAATTACCTCTTTGCAATCGATATTCAGTGGTTCTCACAGTCAAGCAGGTTATATGTTTTGGTTCAGCTGTGTTGACATGAACGGACCTTAGTAAGCATATTTAATGCATTTTCAATATCATATTAAATGAAGGCACTTTGATTGCATGAAGTGAAATGTAATATTAAGGTAAGATAGTTTGAACAGTTGATTAGAAGTGTATACCCACAAAATCTATTAATAAATTAGTATTTTTATAATGAAAATTAAATAAAATCCAAGATGAAGTTTATGTACTATAAAATCTGTAACTATACTTTATGCATTAATTATTTTATGTTATACTGAAGTATGATTTTTAAAAACATCTTTAATGGAGTTCTTGCACATTTTCAGAAACTTTGCAGAATGGTGAAATATGAATTTTCTGAAGCTGCAATATACAAATGGATTGCTGCTCTGCTTAATTTGTATATTAAATGTATCTAGATCAGTACTTTTTTGCCCTATAGGCTGTAAATGCCTGCCAAATGAAAATAATGTTTCATTTCAACTTCACTGTACATTTGTGCCATTTCATCAAAATTATTTATTATTAAACTTCACATCTCTATATTTTAATGGTGTTCATAAGGAAACATTGAACTGTGAAGACCTTGTCTTCAATGGCTTCAATAACTCACATATTTCAATTTTAAAATGGCAAAATAGCTCTATAAAAACCGTTTATAATTGCAGTTTTTCAAAGCTGCCTGAATTAACAATTTTAGATCTAGGAAACAATGAAATCGCTGATTTCAACCAATCTCTTGAACCTTTAACAAAACTTATTACATTGAATTTGACAGCAAACCAGTTCAGTCCAAAAAACAACATCTTTCAACATCTTAATCAAATAAAAGAATTATATCTCGGACATAATTACTTAACCAACTCACACATTAGATATATTTCACAACTCACCACTCTAGTAGTATTAGATGTTTCTTACAATTCAATAACAATTTTATACAATGATATTTTGTGTAATTTAACAAAATTAGAAGAGTTGAATATTAATCACAATAGGTTGAGAATTATTCATAAACATGCATTTAAAGGATTAGAAAGATTGAATTCTCTTGATTCCTCAAGTAATGAGTTGATAGAAATTCAGGAGGAAGTATTAAATGATTTGGTTTCTTTAGAATATCTCGATTTGAGTTTGAATTTCATAAATAATTTACCACAGAAGTTATTCATAAACCAAAAGAAATTAAAACATTTGAATTTAAGTAACAATCCTATTAATTTTATAAGTGATTTTATATTTCTTAACTGTAGCAATTTAGAAACTTTAGTTCTTGAAAATACTAATATAAATAAATTAAAAAGTAATAGTTTTTTAGGATTATCCAAATTGGCAACATTAACACTAAGCCACAACCATCACTTAACAGAAATAGACAATTACACATTCTACGGAACACCAAATCTCCGACATATAGATATTAGTTACTGTAATATATCTGTGATGGATACATATCTAATGAGTTTAACTCAGCTGAACATCTTAATGGCTCATGGAAATCCAATAATATGTGATTCTAATTCAAAATGGTATTTAGACTGGTCAAACAAACATTCTAAGATTAAAATTGAAAAAGTCTGTCCAAAGAATTTAACGAAACCCGTAATTCACTCCAATAATAATACTAACAAGATAAAGCCCATGGTATTTGAACTTGGACATTCAGCTACTCTAAACTGTGATAACACAAGAGACTTACCTATAGTAATGTGGACAACTCCATCCAATACTACTATGATTTTAAGACTTAAAAATACTTCTGTTAAAAAAAATAATGATCGGTTACAAATACTGGAAAATGGTACATTGTATATAAAACACATTGTCAGAGAAGATATTGGTTTATACAAGTGTTTGTTCCAAAATGAAATAAACTCATTAAATTCAACTATGCGAATTATAGTACAACTAGACCCAATAACATTCTATAGAATTAAAATTTTAAGCATTTTGGCAGGTATTATTTCAGCCGCAAGTTTTCTAGCCATAACTATAATAGTTCAAATGGTGCGAACATTATTGAAAAGGTTAGTTTTATATTGAGTGTAAACACATTAAGAATTTAAACAGATTTATAATTTTTATGTTTTCTTTAGATGTGGTTGTTGTACTGGTATCCATAGTGAGTCTCCTAATAGAAAACAATTAATTCAAATACTTGAATCTATCGAACAATATAAAACACAACAGTTAGAAAAATTAAGGGAGAACTATACTTTACAAGTAATTGATTACTCATTATAAATATTACATGATATACATTATACAGCTGAATTTCTATTTATATAAAATGTAATAATTTTAAGGTCCATAAAATTAAAGATAACTGTCAACAACAAGTTGAGTGGATATGTGATAGTTATCAAGGACAAGTTAAAAATTTAAAAGATATTAGAGATTACGGAACAAGCCATTTATCTTCTATGAAAGAGCAGTATTATGAACAGGTAAAAAGAATTCAAGTAAAGGTAAAAAAAAAATTATACTTGATTATATTATCATTTCAAGAATTATATTTTTTGCTAAAATTTCTAAACAGTTGTTATTATTTTTTCATTACTATTTAGTTAATTGGTGTCTGTTCAAGGTGAAACGAGTTAAAGAATATTCTAATGGTCAACTGAGTTGGGTACGAGAAAATTATGTCTTTCAAAGGAATCGTATACGTAAATTCAGTTCTCACCAGGTCCTCCGATTTAGAGAATCCTATAAATATCAGCAACAAACATTGAATAAATTGTTAGAGAATTTACCCAATCTTTACCTAGAAAACTGTCGGAATGGATCATGTAGCAAAAGTGAATCAAGTGAAGGCAATCAAGATGAAGCAAATTATGAAGTATATATTAAAACTAAAGCAGAAGAAATGAACTCAGAATGTCAATCAGTGTATTACACTCCATCAGAATTATCACAAAGTCCGAATACACCAGCAAAAGATCAAATAATACCTAAGATTTGTGGAACTTCTTATACAGATAATACATATCATGGCAGCAAAAAGAAAAAAATACACCAAAATGAAAAATGTAAAGAAAACTTCATGGATATTAATTCAACATCAAAAAAACTTCCATTTAGAACATTAAGCATGCCAGAAATTAAAAAAACAGTGATAGGCGAAAATAATCAGTCCAGTTGTTTTTGCAGATGCCGTGAAACTGAATTATAGTGCCAAAAAGAAGATAAAATTCACAGTGCAGAGTAGTTGTATAATGTATTCAAAAAATAATAAAGTATTACGAAACACTGAGTATAATAATGATCTTTCCAAATATTAAGTACTCGTAAATGCTAATAAATTTTAGACACAAATATAAGATTGTTGAGGATTAGAAATATAAACATGAATACAATTAGCTATAAAAATAAACTAATCTTTCAGGATATCTAGATTAGAGGTGTTACTGGGAATAAATATTCTATAACTCCCTGATAATAAAATCTAAGCATATATTGTTTCTTATAAGTGCATGAAAACCCTAACTACAAAAAAACATGTAGTTATCTAAAGAAATATTCAAATTAGCCGAAGTATGATGTAGTCTAACAGGGATATTAACATCAAAAATATCAATTTTGAAGAAATTTATTTCGTAAAAGATATAGTGTATCATTTAATAAATGTTTTTATCATTAAATAGATTGTTTCTGTTATTGTATATCTTACTCAATTATCTTTTTAACTAAAGAATTGAAATAACTCAATTCATATATTTTAAATATGTTAATGATAAATGGTATAATAGTGATAACACATAAAACATACAAAAAGTCATTGAACTCTATAATGTAATCAAAGATAACAACCATATTATAAGCAATGGATAAACCATGGTTAGCTATGCTATTTATAAATACACTATTAAAATTAGTAAACAAACTGATTTCTGTAAACTGGGATAAAATTGAAACACATTCAGCCATAAACAGTATAAATCAATTTTATAATGTCAGGAAAAAAACAGCTAAACCCCATTAAATCTAACTTTATTTATTTTCTATACTTAAGACTGCTTAATTATGAAGATTATTTTAAATAAGTGTCCTGGTTCAAATAAAACAATTATTTTGTATTTGTCTATTTATCTTTCATCAAACCCATGCTCTTATTTCCCATAATATTTTTATTTTTAAATCAAGATGAACTGAACTTGGACTGGGCTCAATGTTGGTTGTTATTACTATACCTACATGAAATAGTTATATATATATATATATATATATATATATATATATATAAATATTTTATATAATAATGTATAATTGTAATTTAAAAAATTATCTAAGTAAAAGTCAATTTCTAGACTTTAATTCAATTATGTACTGAAAATAGATACTTTGTTCTATCAGAATAAACTTCACTGACAATTTTTCAGATTACTGATGGGATTGTCAGGGGTGCCCATCCCTCCCCAAGGTCTATTGCACAAGAACCTACCTCCCTCCCTCCAAGATATTTTATTGCACTTCTTTTCTTAAAAACAGAGTAAGAGAAGGTAGAATATACATAGATCATATACAATTACACTTGCTGCGGTCTGTTCCATGTTTTCCTCTTGTCCCTTTAGTCTGAAACTTACCATTCCGAAAATTCATAACCCCTTCAAAGTGTGCCCCCCTCAAAAATTTTGAAGGCGCACCTTGTGCTGTGAAACCCCCTTCCGGGCACCCCTGGAATAAGTGCTCATGTCATCTGAAGTTAAATTACTTACAATAATAAAATATGTAGGTAACTAATTTTCAATTACCAAAAAACATGATTATTCTAAATGATTAGATCCATTAAACAATATAGAAGGAAGTTAGTCGACTGTTCTACATATCATGGGTGATAAATATACAGGGCGCAGTCATTAAGATTTTATTGATGCCGATGTTTCAACGCAAACATATGGGTCATCATTAAGGTGTGTTTCGAGCACTCGTGTTTGGGTTGAAACGTCAGCACCAATAAAATCTTTATAATGACTGCGTCCTGAATATTTATCACCCATTAAACAATATACATAGTCAAATTAAATTCATCTTCGAGATCAAAACAATAATTGCCTTAATTTCCTTCAAATGACAAGTCTGACAAAAACAAACTGATATTAAATATAAATAACAGGAGTTTATAATTTAAATTTTATTCAAATCATTAACATAGTCACAAATATAATCAATAAATCATTATAAAATATAGAAATTGTCCTGAAGATAAGTTAAAAACCCTAAATATCTCAGATGAGACAAAAATAAATTATTTTTAATAAATATAAGAAATTTTATTCACAAAAATACCCAGAAATTGATTATGCAATTTTTCCTAATCAAATAATAGTCCCTGGTGCAGACCCCTCTTTATCAAATTATTAACATCTGCCTAAAACGTATTAAATAGCTTCATCTCATCATAACCTACAAATATTTTATTTACGAAAATTCTCGGAATTGGGACGTTTTCAATCTGGAGGTCGGCAATCTTTGTCTATTTAATTAGATACAAAAAACTCATAAACACCCATTTTCTTTCCACTTGGATCGTAAGAGAATTAGATAAAAATAAATCAATAAAAAAGATGGCCTACAAAAATAGTGGTCTGTTAAGGCTATATAACCTCAATATTTTGACAATTCTGGGGTGTAGCTCACACCAAACTGCTCAATGCTTTTGAAGGCCACCTTTTTTCTCGACTTTGTGCTCAAGTTATTTTACGATTCAAGTGGAAAACAAATGGGTTTTTAGTAACAAATTAAATTGACAAAGTTTGCCGACCCGATTCCAAAAAATTTCATAAATAAAATATTTGTAGATTACGATGAGATGAAGCTATTTATGAAGTTTCAGGCGGATGTTAATAATTTGATATAAAGGAGTCTTACTACGGACTATAACAATGAAAACTAATTAATACTGAAATATTTTGATTTATATTGCTTATCACTGAATAGTTTTTTATTTTTGATAGTTTATTGAATAAAAATACAATCTACTTCACGAAGAGCAACAAGTATTAGGACTACAAGAGTTCATTCAGACAATATATACAAAAAAAAAACAGAACAGGAAACTAATATAAATAATAAAAAATATATATAAATAAATATTTATTTATAATAGTGTATATAAAATATATACACGAAACCCTCTCTTCTATTCCTGATTCTAAATCAATATGGATAACCATCCATAAACTCTCTCTTTGTAAATTTTCCTCATCGGTCTACCGGGTTTCACCTGAAGAATTAAATTCCTACTTTAAATTTGGCTCCACCAGCAACAGCTCACCGTCTTACTAGTTTTCCTTGTCACCCTAATTTGATAGAGATAATTTATATTTCTCCTACATTTCACCAATTGACCTTATTTCCTCTTAGATTTGATGGAATACCTGTCAACTGTTAAAATTATGTCTTCCTGAAGTCCTTCCTGTCCTTTTCATCTATAATTTTTCCCTCCAAAACTCAGTTTTTCCTACTGCTTGGAAAAAAGCATTAGTCAGACCTATTAACAAAATTCCAAATCCTACTGTTCCTAAAGACTACCACCCAATCCCAAATCTCCAAATTCCTTAAAAACTATTCAATCCTTTCCAATCTGGCTTTCATCCTGGCTTTTTTACACAATCCGCTTTAATAAAAATTACCAATGACATACATACTGCAATGAACGAAAAAATGCTGTGTTAAAACTTCTTGACTTTTGCAAAGCTTTTGACTCCTTTATCTCTACACTAAATTAAAATCTGTCCTTCTCCAAAAGCTCTATTCTTTGGTTTAGTCTTTCCTTTCCAACTGGACTCAAGCAGTTAGCATTCTGAACCAACACCTATCTTCCTTCCTTACGCTGTCTTCTGTAGTGTCACAGGGCTTTTTAATCTCATCCTTTTTAATTCCTATATAAATGATCTTCCTAAATCCGTCTGCCACTGTTTACACCATTTATACACTAAAGACTCCCAAATCTATTTATCCTTTCACCCTTCTGAGCTATTAGTCATGTTCACCAATATTCAGGGAGACCTGGATTGGATCAGTGCCTGGGTAAGTCTGAATAATTTAAAGCTAAACACGATGAAACCTCAGGCCATTGATATAGGTTCCAATTCTCTTCTAAAATCCAACTCCTTCCTTCCTCCTTTAGTCATCAACAATCATCCCATCATATTCAGCTCCTCCGTTAAAAACCTAGGAATCACCACTGATGAAAACCTCATATCGCCATCATTTCACGAAAGTCAATAGGTAACCTTAAGTTATTTCATCACTTCCGTCACCTACTCCCATTTGTATCTTCTCTTATTTTTCCCTACCTTGACTACAGCTGTGTCGTGTACGGAGGCATCCGATGGTACTCGAGAATAGATTGAAGCGACTCATGAACTTCTTAAGATTTGTCTTTGGTTCTTCGAGGCGGTCTCATGTGTCCCACGTTTACGACGAGTTAAAGTGGCTCTTCCCTTCTTCCCGCCAACAATATTAACTTGGATCTTACCTATTCCAAATGATCAACACCCGACAGTCTTCCTACATCTACAATCTCTTACAGTTCAAACCCATGGTCTACTCCTAGAAAACAAGATCCTGTGTTTCCGACCTTTATACTCCTTCCCATAGAACAAAGACATTTGAATATTCTTTATTGTCCAATCCTCTTCCTTCTGGAATTCCTTGCCATCTGATATCCACCATGCCTTTTCCTTATCCTCATTCAAATATGATCTCTAAAAATTCATTCTCACATCCCAAAATAACGCTGTACTATGAAATAAATTTTATGAATCAAATTTTGATTGAGGTGAACGATTGTTGAAATTGTTTGAGTTTTAATTTTAAGAAACAAGTCATAGATAGTGCTTGTAATATTTTGTTTTTTATTTCTCCTGATTTCAGTTTTCTTTCCATTTCAATAATTTTTGGTTTTGTTTTGTTTTTCAAAATGATTTTACTTTTTGTTTTTTTATATATTTTCACTGAAGATATTGTATATATTATTTAATTTTGATTAATGTAATTTTTGGCTAGATGTAGTTTTAGTTTTTGTTCATAATTGTTATTCTTAAAGGAACTTGTCCCAGAATAAAGTTTATTTTCTATTCTATTATATTCTAAATAACAATAATCTTCTTATATACATTCATACCTATTATATAAAATATCTACAATCGCCCAGGGAACTCCGAGCCAAGCTTTGTCTTCCACATGTGGGAGATAAAGCAAGACTCAGAAGTTCCCAGTGATTCCCTTTCAGCATCATTGGTATTAGAAGTTAGTGAAAACTGAAAGAGGACACTGGAGCCACAGATGCTCAGGATTTGAGTGGAGAAGCTGGCCATTGCCAGAACTCCAAAAGCATATTTACAAAAGGTCTCGGGGCCACTGCCGCTTTAATCTTCGACAAGGATTGTCAGAGCAGGATAGGGATTGAGCTAGAGGATTAGGATGATGAATAAGATTCTGGTGAAAGTTTGTAAATCTGGATGAGATAACGTCAAGGACATATGGGATGTTAAGGTCTTGTTTGTGACCTAATAAGGAGTATTGACTATTGTTCTGAGTACTTTGGATCCAAAGAATTGGATGGATACGTTTGATATTTGAAAATTTAGCTGTCCCCCACAGTTCAAGTCCATAAGTCCAAATAGGTTTCAGTATGGTCTTGTAGATTAATGATTTGTTTTCGATTGTAAGATGAGATGCTCTGTTTAATAATCCATATAACTGGCCAAATCATCGGTTTAGTTCTTGTCTTTTAAGTCTAGAGTGTGGGTTCCAAGTCAGTCTTTTGTCGAAAATTGTGAACTTTTTTAGTTATTGGCAAATAAAATTTTGAATTCATCGTAACATTTTTTGCAGCTTATTTTTGGGAAAACATGTTATACACATAAATTATAAGGGTTTCAAAGGAATGACTGAGCCAAGTTTCGTTAAAATTGTTACAGCCGTTTTGGCACGACAGTCTATAGTGATATTTTTTTTACACATATAAAATTATCGTAGGATGGAAGTACTGTGCCAGAAACCTTCACAGGAGTGTATGCAACAACTTCCCAAAGTTTCATGACGATTGGATGAATGGTTTAGTAATGCACAAAGGACAAACAAACATGCATTATTTTATTTATATATAGACTAGCTGATGTACCAGTCGTTGACGGGTGTACAGATAAATTTTGAGAATCTTTATTTGAGATGGATTTTGTATTATGGAAGAGGGGGGTCCAAATCTATGGATCTTTCTTTTTAATATGCCAGATCTCTAGACAAATTATTCAAGAATTCATAACTTTGGTTCTACTTAATATTTTGTTTTTACTGAAAGCCTGTTTTAAATCAAACAAACCTAAATATAACGAAAAAACTTCAAAAGTTTACCACTAGCCATTGCTGAGATTATCATTGGCAAAATAACACTGGACATTGAGTCACCTACATCCGTGTAAAATTAGAACTTGATCTGAATATTTTAGCAGGTGGAGGGAAATTTTTGGGAGTTTTTTTTTTCCGATTTTCCGCTAATTCATTTGGTTAATCTAAAAATGTATACGACAACATTTGTTAGGCTCAGGAAGTTGAATCGAATGACACCTTGAACGGGAAGATCGGACAAAGTTGAAAAATGAGTGTGTTTTACCCGTATTTTAAGTGACAATGCATTAAAGATGTTCAGGATTTCGGATTTTTTCTGGATTTTGAGTTGTAATAATTTTTTCCATCAGTTGAATAGTACAACTTTTAAATGTGGTTAGCGATAGAGTAGGGATGAGAAGTAATTAACTGCCTAACCTGGATCTCTAGACAAATTACTCAAGAATTCATAACTTAGGTTCTACTCGATATTTTGTTTTCATTTAAAGCCTATGTTTTAAGTCAAGCAAACCTAAATATAATTTCAAAAGTCTACTATTAGCCATTGCTGAGCTTACCCCTGACAAAATTTCATTGGACAATGCGGACATACAGACAAACAAATTTTTTTTTTAAATTGGATTTTGTGTCTGTAATGTATGAAACGGGTTGATTATATTCAATGTACAGACAAAACATTTATTTTATAGATATTACCTAAACATACCCATGTTTTCAGCAATAATGACTACAATAAATTATACAAAAACTTTATTTTCAAATTACAAATTTCTTTATTTTCAATGACTTGAAATCTATTATATTGGGTTGTCCAGAAAATAATGCAGGATTTTGAGTTTTGTTTAAAGTATCCCTCTATATAAAAAACTGTTTACATTTACCGGTTTATTAATTTGTATGATTGTCATGACTTATTAATCATCTTCCCCCCTTAGCGCCCTAAAACCCCTACCCTACCTACCTCCCTTATTAATCCTCTTCCAAACCACCATGTTTGTTTACCTCAGTAGCATTTTGCTACTTAGAAATAATCCAGTCTTTACTAAAATGTGAACGCGTGATTTTCAGACTGGAATGGGGCCCAGACGGCCAGAAACATTAATCAAGTCTGGGGCGAGGGCAGCATTAATGAGTGCACTGTTTAACAGTGGTTCGAAAAATTTCAGGAGGGAGACTTCAGCCTTGAAGTCAAAGAAGGTCGTGGAAGAACTTCCGCTTTTGATGACAATGTTCTGCGGGCTTTGGTGAAAAATAAACCAAAACAACTGTTTGAGAACCTGCAGGGAAATGTAATCTTAGCAAATCAACCGTCAATGATCACCTCAAGGCGATTGGAAAAGTAAAAAAGCTTGAAAGTTGGATTCCACACGACCACCAAAAATACCAGCAGTATGAAGTTTGTACTACACTTTTTTGTCAAAACAAAAATGAGCATTTTCTGTCCAGAATTGTTATTTGTGATGAAAAGGGGATATTTTACGATAAAAGTCGACATTCTGGACAGTGGCTCGACAAAGGAGAAGCAGCAGAACATTTTCCAAAGCCCCCTACTCATCAAAAAAAGGTGATGGTTACCATAGTGGGCTTCATTTGGTTTGATACACTACAGCTTCTTAAATCCTGGAGAAATCATCAATGCTGAATCGTATTGTAACCAAATTAAAGCAATGCATACAAAATTGGCAATAATGAAGCCATCTTTGGTCAATCGTAAGGGGCCCATTTTGTTGCATGACAACGCCCAGCCACATGTCTCATGTGTGACTTCATAAAAATTGTTGGAGCTTGGATATGAAAGTCTATCACAACCACCCTACTCTCCGGACCTCTCGCCTACGAAATGTCATTTTTTTAGACACCTGGACCACTACTTACATGACAAAAAATTTAATGGACAAAGGGAATTAGGAAATGTGTTGTTAGAGTTTATCGATTCTAAAGATGGGAAATTCTATTCCGAGAGAATGGAAAAGTTGCTAACACATTGGCAGAAACGTATTGATAGAAGTGGAGACTATGTTGATTAAATAAAACAGTTGTAAATCTTTCTTTTTAAACTAAAATCATGCATTATTTTTCAGACAACCCAATAATAAACATAATTACTCCAAATACACTTTTTATTTATAAGGAAGAAATGTTAAAAATAATTATTTTTTATCTAAAGTGAGTATAAAACTATGTTTTTCACCCAGATTTCAATTATAGTAACTGATCCGTATTTATAAATGACCAACTAAAAGTACTATTTTGGTGGTACTCCCTAACATGAAAAATTGTTAAAAATTAAATACTAATTACTTAATGATAAAATGGTAAAATAATGTCTGCTTTTGGAACATGATATGCTTGTATTAGAACTTGACCGAGTATATAAAAGTATTGAAGACAAATTTAAGTTTTGAATATGATAATCAGGGTTTCCACTTTGGTGAATAAATTCCTTTTTAGGAGGGAGAAAAGAGGTATAATTTTAACAATCAAAGCCATTCATGAGTACAGTATAATCTATATTTTAATAATATAAGTAAAAGTGACATAAAATGAGCTGTAACATAAAATATTACGTATTATTTTCTATATATTTGGGTGGAAGTGATTTTAATTTTTCATTTTGAGGAGAAAAAAGGGAGAATCTGAATCACCTGACCAAATGGGAAATTAAAAAAAATATGGTGAAAATGCTGATGATAACCCAATTTCAGTCTTTTTCTCATAATATTGAATTCAAGAGTACTTAATAGCAATTGTACATGTTTTCAGTTAAATTTATTATTACTATTTTTTTTTATTCTCTTCTCTCAAATTAACAAAACTACACTCAATGATTTTTTTATCATACAATAATCAAAATAAATGAAAATACTAATTTTAAATTAAAATACAAACAAACAACCTGTAATATCAACTTACTTTTTCTGGTGATCTATTCCATAGAATGATCTCATGTCCATCTTGTAGGAGTCTTTGGATTAATGTTTTCCCCATTATTCCACCTCCAAGGAAACCAATTTTTATAGTACAGGGTGCTATTTCACCAGATGAAATGTCAGTCATTTCATCAAGAGAACCATCCTGTAAAAGAATGAAAAAAATATAATAAAATAATGATGATTAACTAATCCGGCTCTGTGTGAACATAGTTGGGTCTAATCGTGAGGTAACCAATGTGCTGGCGGCACCAACCTTGTCAAGTCGTTTTAGCTAAAGTAATGTTACCAGTAACTTTAGATTGCAATTTCAATCATTACTTCAGACATTATTGAGCTTTTATCCTTATATTGCATGTTAATATTTATCATATTGAAATGCAGCAGGTAAATAGAAGGATCTGGTCACGACAATGACTCGTCCATGATTTCATTTATTTGACATTAATCCTACATGAAATGCTTTTGCATTATTATTACTTAGGAGTACGGAAATAATATGAGGATTGTCCATAAAGTTTGTATAAAAGGGAATTTCTTTTTTTACATTTATTCAGCGAAATTGCCCTTTTTAAAATACGTCTCTTGAGATACAATGCACTTAATGCACATGCTTCATTGTATTCACCTATATCCACTTTTATCTTATTCCAACTAATTTTATTGTTTCAATTGTATCAGGTAATTTTAGACTGTTTTATATGTTCTAGCACATCAGGATATTTGTATATATGGATATAGTTTAAAGTTACCATGTAAGCATTATAAAGGCATATGCAGTAATATAATTTTATTTCATAGTCTCTAACAGTAAGCAGTTTTTTTTTGCAATCTATTTTACATATTGTATGCTTCATCATGCTAAGGCAATTTATTTAGGATTGTCATTTAATATGTCCTGATTAATTATAGGTCTTAGGTTTGAAGGAAAGAAATTTATTTGGTAGAATTAGTCACCAGTACAGTATGGATAGTCTTATAGTATCAATTACACTTACTTTACTGTCGGACAAGAAACTTCAATTAAAAAAAAATCTGGTGAGCACATCACACAATTTCACTTACCACCCTCTTAGCAGAAATAAGTATTTTCAGACAAAGGGGAAGTGTAAGTAAAAATTATAGAAGCTATATTTACTTACATTTCATTGTTGGTATTTTTATTTGTTTAATTACACTTATCTATATATAAAAATTTTAATTTATATATCGCTGTAATCTATACAATTAAATATCAAATAATACCGACAATAGCATTTACGAAAACTGTATATGTATATGTACATAATGTTGTCGGAGTCCATATTATATTAACCTCATGTTATGTATGGCAGCCTGTTTTAATCTTTCAGGTGTACTCATATTCCTTTGGTTCCTCCTTTACCACTATTATCTGTTACGATTTCTTATTTATCCTTTATTTAATCATCAAATTCTTTCATATTTTATATTTAACTATTTTTTATAACAAAGATTAATGTTAAATGGTTTAATTATTTCAAATAAAAAAATTAAAGGTACTTTAGAAGTAGCTAATATTGAAAATTAGCCATTTAAGCCCTGTCAGAGAACATCAATGAGAATAAAACCAACCTACATTATATTAAAAACTGCTTAATAATACACTGATATACTTAGTTTAATCAAAATCGTTAGAGCCGTTTTTGAGAAAATCATATAAATTTGTTAAATTGATAATATAAAGTACCACTTCTGGTTTGCCGATTTTGATGAAAATGTTGCTTATAAATAACCTAAATATGCAATTGCAGTTCCATACTTTTCGTTTTTGAGCTAGACTGTTCACAGGCTCACACACACCATTTTGTGGGACTTGATATATATATATATATATATATATATATATATATATATATATATATATATATAAAACCTGTACCACTACAACCCACGAAGGGTCTTGGGCTCAGTAGTATTTAGGAAAAGCATTGTTTATTGGTCTAAAGTTGTGCAAGGAGGTGATTTCAACGACGTTATGCTCAACCGCCAGGTTTTTCTCCTTAATTAATTATTTTAATTAAGGGTACCCACTGTATAGAGGCTAAGTTTGCCCCAGTAGGGTCTACCTACCCAGGATCGCCCCACAGCCAATGAAACAGAATAAATAATATTTCTACCATGAGCCGGGATTCGAACCTGGGTACCTTTAGCATTGGAAGCTCAGTAACCTACCACTGAGCTACCCAACTCCCTATATATATATATATATATATATATATATATATATATATATATATATATATATAATATATATATATATATGTAAATGAAAGTAAAAAAGGAAATATATATATATATATATATATATATATATGTATATATATATATATATATATATATATATATATATATATATAAATCATGAGAAGCAGGAAGCACCAAAATAAATGAACTTAATAGTTAATAAGAAAGATTGTATGAAAAATAGAATAAATAGATAGAAAGAAAGGATTGGCCACAACAGAAACACAGTTTATGATTGAATATTGTTAAAAAAGATATTTTCAAAATGAATAATTTGAATAAAAACTATAAATAACCATGAGTTGCTCTTTAGACTTAGGCTGGGATACATACTCTGTGATACATACTCTGCATGGTTTAACAGATAAGCTTTTTATCTGCTTGGGAGTCCTTGGAACATTCTGAACTCTCTAGCCCTTTATCAAAAAAAAAGAAAATCGGCTTGGAGTTGAATTAAATTTCCTCCCGACAAAATTATTCCTCAAAAAACAGAAAATGTAATACCCACATATTTCTTATAGAGGAAAGAAAAATATATTGAGAAAAGAATCCTGCTCAGTTTAATAAAGCATTCGCAGAAATAACTAAAAACAAAAATATTACAATAGATAAAAAAGACATTGCTATTCAAGCTAATATTTTATATTATTTTTCAGAAAATCTTGAAAAAACAGAGATTAATAAACCCAGCAAAGCTGTAACAAATCAAAATATTACTAAAGAGAATAAAATTTGTTCTAGTGGTGCTCAAAACACTTTGTGTTTATCAAATCAAGGCAATAGTAGGTTTATTACTGCTACGCCTGGCTTGGATGACTTGGTTCCCCCACCACTACCACCTCCTCCCTCTTCACTCCCTCCACCTTCTACTCCTACTTCCCTCCCACCACCTCATCCCTCTTCCTCAACTTCTACTCCCACACCACTTACTCCTAACCCCTGTCCGTCTGATCTATTTGTCAATAATGAAATAGATGATGAAGGCTTCCAAATTCAGGGAAAATTAAAAAGAGGCAGACTAAGAAAACAAATCCATAGTAAAACTTAAGTTATTAATTTATTTAAAATATTTTTATTTATTTGTTGTTATTTTTTATTTTGTTTATATTTTTATTAAATTTATTTTTCCTTATTCTGTCAATTAAATATTACTATATATCGTTGTTAAGGAATGGTAATGGTTTAAAGACCCATTTTTGCAATTTTAAAATACCATTACGTAACACAGACCCATTCAAAATTTACAGAAAAGATAGCCCAAATCCAAATCATAGTCACCACGGAGTCTTAATAGCTACACAAAAATCTGAATATTCCGAACCAATTCCAATCAACTCCCACCTTCAAATCGTTGCTGTCAGAGTCCACCGAGATATCACATTCTCAATTTGCAATATATACCTGCCTAAAGATCGTACAATAGAAACCCAGCACCTCTTAGACATTTATAACCAAGTGCCTTGTCCTGTTCTTTTTGTTGGAGACCTAAACGGACATAATCCTTTATGGGGATCCCAGAGTATAAACATGCGAGGTAGAATAATAGAAAACTTAATATATTTGTCTTTTCTCCTCCTACTCAATACCAGAGAACCCACCTTCCTCAGTTCGAGTTATGGTGGTTATTCTGTTCTTGACGTTTCTCTCTGTAGCCTTATACAGTACCATTGACTGGATAGTTCTACCTGATTTATACAGTAACGATCACTTGCCACTTCTTATTAAATTTAGATATATAAACTCTACCTATGGAAAACTGACATGGCAGAGCTGATTGGCCCTTTTATACTTCGTCAGCGACACCACCTCAATCCTCTCCATCAGAAATGAATACTGAATCAGACTGTGAAATCATTACAAATATAATCATACATGCATCTAAGGCATCGATACCAATGACCTCAGGTATACCAAGATCAACGTTGAGCCTACAGAATATTTCTGAAATTCATGACGTCTGAGAACCTAATAGAATATAAAAAGCAGTGAGCTATGTAAAAATGAAAATGAAAATATTTTTTTATTATCCTGGGACTGTTGTCCCTTTAGGACAAATTACAGATACAGAATAAATGCCTGTGTGGCCATACATAAAATTAATTATTTACATTTATTATTAAGATTAAGATTTTGAAAAAATAATAAAACAAAAAATATAACTATTACACTAAAAACATTCTGATATGTATAATACAAACTATGAGAAAAATAAAATAGCATAAGTAAAGAAAATCATTTCTGGGGGAACTTTAAAAGTTCTCTTATCTACATTTCATGATCAATCGGGTTGGGAAAAGAGTAGGTGGTTAAAAAGGAGAGATTTAAATGAGGAAACTGATTGTACATGTCGGATATCGGGAGGGATGGTATTCCAGAAGGAGACGGCTTGAATTATAAAGGATTTGTCAAACGCTGCAGTTCGGTGGGGAGGTGGATAGAGGTCGGAGGTACGAGATCTAGTGAGACGGGATTGAATGGAATATTTGAATTGTAGGTTGTGAAAAATATAGGAAGGCCGCTGAGTTCTGAAGACTTGGTATAGAAAAGTGGAAAGGAAGTACAGACGGTGGTTGGATGGATAGAGCCACTTCAACTTGGTATAATACTGGGTTATATGCGTATCTCTTGAGATTCCGAAAACAAAACGTATTGCGCAGTTCATTAGGCGTTTAAGTTTGGCCTCGAATTCTCCTGAGTGTCCGCCGTACATCAGACAGCCATAGTCGAAGTGGGGGAACACAAGGGAGGAAACCAGGAGTTGACAGGATTTATATGGAAGGAAATAGCGGAGATGGTTAAACTGTTTCAGGGTAGAGATAGTACGACAGAAAATTTGGGAGATGTGTGGTTTCCAGGAGAGGGTTTGATAGAATGTAACACCAAAGTTTTTTTACAGAAGTATGGAATGAGATAGGTGAGTTGTTCGGAAAAGATTGGGGAGTATCTGTATGGATTTGAGGAGTGAGGAAGATCCGAACAGAATGGCTTTCCTCTTATTGGCGTTTAGAGTAATCCTATTGTGATTTGCCCAGGCACATATTGCGTTTATATCTTCCTGTAATTTTTGGATGGCGCCAGAGGATTCGGTTGGATTGAAGGAGAGGTAAATCTGGACGTCGTCGGCGTACAGATGGTATTGATAGTGAAGGATAGAGGATGAAAGGTCATTGATGTAGATGGAAAAAAGGGTGGGAAATAAAGAGGAGCCTTGTGGGACAACCCTAGACAAAGGTAAAGGTTCTGATGGGGGGTTATTGGGGACTACAACATACTGGGAGCGGTCGGAAAGAAAGGATTGGAACCAATTAAGGGTACTAGTTGAGAAGAAAATATTTTTAAGCTTGGTTAGGAGAATTTTGTGGTCTACTGAGTCAAAGGCTTTGGAGAAGTCAAGGAGAATAAGGATGGTGAGTTTCTGCTGGTCCATGGCTGCATGAAGGTCTTGGGAAATTTTGATGAGGGCAGACTGAGTGGAGTACCCAGGCCGGAAACCGGACTGGTTGGGATTTAGGAGGTTATTCTGTTCTAAAAAATCGGATACCTGGGTTTGAACTAGTCGCTCTAAAGGTTTAGAAAGATTTGAGAGGAGAGAAATTGGACGGAAATCATTGAGAGTTGATAGGCTGGAAGTCTTTTTCATAGGGCGAACTAGTGCGGTTTTCCAGGATGTAGGAAAGGTAGCGTTTGGTAGTGAATAATTGTAGATATGGTAGAGGATTGGAAGGATGGATGGTAGTGAGGCTTTGATCAGTCTGACTGGGATGTTATCGGATCCATAATCATTGGTTTGTGACTTTTGAATGGAGTTGAGGAGGTCATCAGGTGTAATATGGGAAAAAAAGAATTGATCAGGATTAAAATTTATAGTGAAACACACAGGAGTCGGCATAGCCGCGGGAGATGAGGATGAGAAAGGACAGGAGACAAAGTGTGCGTTAAGGTCATCAGCAGAAAAGGAGATGAGCTGGGTTTGAGGTGTGTTGCAATTGGTCAGTTTTTTTATGATAGCCCACTTGGTCTTGGAGTTTGGGGTGTTGGATAAGGAATGATGGAAGTAACAGGATTTGGCTCAGCGTATAGCAGACTGAGTGCTGTTTCGTAGTTGCTTGAAGGCGATATGGTCTTCCAGGAGTCGGGTACGTTTAAACCTCCGTCTTGCCACATCTCTTCTTCTCATGCACTCTCTCAAAGCGGGTGTCAGCCAAGGAGCAGGGGAATGTCGGATGGTTTTAGTTAGGAGAGGAGCATGGCAGTCGAGGATGGTATGAAGATGGTTGGTAAGGATTTCTACCATGGCGTCAATGGATTTAAAGGAATAAATGGGGTCCCACTGGGAAGTATCGAGATCTTGCGAAAGGGCTTCATAGGTGAGGGAGTTGAGGTTTCGGAAGAATGTGGTTTGAGGAGAGAAAAATGGGACCGGGATATTGTAGGAAATCTGGATAAGATCATGGGAAGACAGAAATGGAACCAGGTGCTGAGATGCCGACAAGAGTTTATCAAGGGAATCCAAGACAAACAAATCAAGCCAGGACTCTGAGAACTGGGTATGATGGGTAGGGTTGTAGGGTACTATATAAAGGCTGAGTGATTCGAGGAGGCCTGTCAGGTAGGAATGGTCAGAAGATGGTATCATTAAATTGGTATTGAAGTCTCCGTTGGGGATAATATTGGAGTAGAAAGGGATCAATTTGTAAAGGGAAGTCTCAAATGATTCATCAAACGGAATTCTTGGAGGACGATAAATTACTGCAAAGAGAAGGGGAGATGATGGGGTGAGGATTTCAGTAAAAAGATATTCCAGGTGCGGAGAATCGGTATGGGAAGAGCACTGTAGGATTTTGAATTTAAGGCTGTCATAGACAAAGAGGCCCACTCCACCACATGTACGATCCTCTCTTTCATGGCGAAGGAGGGTATAATTGGGTAGAGTAATTTGGGAAGACGGAATAGAGGGCTTTAACCAGGTTCCAGAAACTGCAATTAAATGGTAGAAGTTGTGGAGGAAAAAATCATAAAATTCATCAAAATGGGCTAGGAGTGACTGAGCGTTGACGTGGCAGGTTAAAAGGATATTAGTCATGGGGGAAGGAGGAGTGTCTTGGTTAACAAACTGGAAGTGCTAGAGGTAGGAATATTTTTATAGTGGTTGGAACTAGTATGAGCCCAGAGTACATAATTGTTAATGACACCTCTATTGCGAAGAATCATGAGTGTAATAATAAATGATGCTAAACAAAAACAGAAAATAAAGAATAGTAATTTTCAAGGTATTATTAATTTTGAAAAGTTGGAGATATACAATTCAGTAAACGAAAGATGTACCTCTACATCGGAATAAAACATATTTAAGTATATTAAAATGTCTAAAAGTATAAAACATAGACTGTTCTTATAAACGAAAATAAAATAATTATCAAAATAAATTAGATCAAAAACCACTAAATTGTAATCTTTAAAAAAAATAAAATAAAAATAGAAATGTGCAAAAACAGAAATGAAAAATAAAGTGAGCAGAGCAATTGAACATGTGAGTGCAAGTCATGCGAATATGTCCAAGTCCGTTGGCGAGTTGATCACGAAAACCTGCTGGCCGTCATCACGTCGACATTTCACTTTGCCCGCGTTGAACCAGACATATCTGATCTTTCCCGCAGATCTCTTCTGTCGGGCTAACCAATAATGCCGAACCAATAAACTATGTGCCGAAAAATCAATCAGGATTTCGCAAGGAGGCAATGCACAATCGATCAGTTGGTTGCAGATGCCGAAACCCAGTATGCCTTTATCAACTCCCAACAACTGATTGTGGTATTTTTCTATATGAAAAAAGCTTTCAAAACATAAAGCACACTATGATCCTAAGCAAGCTATCATACGTAGGAATTAGAGGACAAATGTTCCGTTATATCAGCCAGTTACACTTTGTGGTAAGAATAGGTTACAAACTATCCGAACAACATGAACAGATCAACTGAGTTCCTCAGGGCTGTGTCCTTATTCCAACCCTATTTTGCTTACCAATAAACAACTTGGCGCTCAACCAGCCAAGAAGTGTTAAACCACTATTATTTGCAGACTATTTAGCCATTATCTGTCGTTCTGAGAACATTGCCACCAAAAAACAAACTACAGGATGATATAAATAGAATAAATAACTGGTTCCTATCCACTGGTCTTTAATTTTCCGCAGAAAACACTAGATGCCTCCATTTCAGTCGAAAGAGGAACAACCCCTCCTCTCTATCTATCTCTCTACCTCTGAACTCTATCTAGGCAATGCTTTGATTCCATATATAGATAAATATAGATTTTTAGGGCATGACTTTTGATCGAAAATTAACATGGGAGTCACACATTTGAACATTGAAATATACCTCCACAAAAAGATCAAATATACTAAGATATCTTAGTGGCACATCCTGGGGCTCTGACAGATCCAACCTGCTAAAGCTTTATAGCATTTTAATATGTTCTATGATAGATTATGGGTGCTTCATAGACGGTTCAGCTAGTTACGGTGTTTTAAGTAGACTGGATATGCTGAGCATCATACTGGTATTCGAATAGCGACTGGCGCCTTTCAAACCAGCCCTGTTTTCAGTTTATGTTCTGAAGTAGGAGTTCTCACTCTTGATTTAGAAGAAAAAAACTAGCTATAAATTACATAATTAAAATTCTTCCTCAACCAGACCATCCTACACATAAGATAGATATTTAAACCAAAATTTTCCAATGCTTTTGAAAAAAAAAACTGAAATCAACACTCCCATTATCAGAGAGAATTGGTTCAGCAACTGATTTTCACGTATCCTTCAAAAAATATCAGAACCGTATTTGATCTATACTGATGGATCTAAATCGGACGAATACACGATGTCTTCTTTTGTCATCCATAATTCAACCCACAAAATAAAACTCCATAACCTCTGTAGTATGTATACAGCTGAACTTCATGCAATAGCCTCAGCCCCCTTCACTTTTCTATGACAATAAACCCCCAAAACATTACAATAATAATTGACTCTCTAAGTTCTCTAAAATGAATGAGTAATTTATACCCAAAACAACCAACCATCTTAAAAATTCATAAATATTTAAATATATTAGAATCTCTAAGAAAATCAGTATACTTTATTTGGGTACCGAGCCACGTGGAAATCATTGGAAATGAGCTCGTGGATGTCGCAACTAAACAAGCGCTTACCCTTCCGGGCCGGGGCGCTACCATTCTAACGCCACAACGCCATTCCTCTCAAAAAAGAAATCACTCATAGCTGGCAATCTATGTGGAATGAGAGTCCACCAAGCAAATTAAAAAATATATAAAGCCATGGTCAACATCAAATCATTATATCCGAGGAGAAGAGGATGTTTTAACTAGACTGAGAATAAGCCATACCAATCTTACCTTATTAGCAAACAGCTACCACCACAATGCCAACACTGCAATAATATACTTACGGTCAGCCACATTTTACAGGAATGTCATTTTTACCTATCAGGTCTAAACAGTTTAGGACTTACACCTTCAATAGTAAACATTTTGAGGGATGATGAAGACAATGAAGTTAGTATTAGATTTCTTGACATCATATGATTTGTTTACAAAAATTTAAAATCTCTTAAAAATTTAATCTGAAGATAAACGAAATTAATTTACAGGTGTTGATGAACCCGACATTTTACGCCTTAAAACACCAAAAAACAAATAAACTATAAATAATCTTAACTTTTTTTTTATTCTTTATTGCTTTGAAATAAAAAATGACAACCATGAATAAATAAAACTTTCCTCACTTACATTCATCGGTTCCTTCTCTTCATGTTCCTCCTCACCACTATGTTCATCAGAGCTATGAATACTGGTTTCTTCTTTAGAGAATGGATCAGAAGAAGGATGACACGCGATTTCGCACATAGCATCAAGAGGGGTAGTGGTATCCGGGTGAAAATAGTTGGAATATTTTCTTTTTTTCGTCATTTTCTTAGTAGGAGGTAAAACTCGTTTTCCTTTACTGCTGTCACTCTGAAATCATAATGTGGCACAAATTTAAAACAATATAGAAACTTATGATTTAATATGTGGTGTTAAAAAATATTAGATGATATAAAATACATTTATACATCAATTTTTCTGTATTAACTTCTCAATAAATCTATCAATCAATAATCAATATAACAATTTCTCGGTATCAATTTTTTTCATATCTAAATGGTATCGGGGAAAGATTGTATTAAGACTGGTCTCACTGATTTGTATTTAAATATGGTTCACTGAATGGAAGTGGACTGTGATTGATGGGATTAAACCATTGGGTTTGTTAAACTTATTTTTTTATTATTAAAAAGAATTATTATGAGCTTGCAAGGTACTAATCCAAATGCTAGGGAGACCAACCTTCCTCCGAAAACCCAAAAAGTTCAGTCCAAGAAACACACATTTTTCAATCATAATATACACAATACTCACAACAAAAACAAAGAAACCTTATATATGTTCAAGATTTTGAGTTATATAACATCAAGAAAAGTGGCTAGCTTTTCCTTCATGACCTAAGACCATCTACTGTGACTCAAATAGGCTGATTCAGGGGAAATAATTTTATGGAGACCTTTTAGCCCAGTAACCTTGTACATCCTAAGTTTAATTGAATGGAAGTAAAAGGTTTCTTTTAATTTTCTTGTATGGGATATGAGTGAGATGTAAAATCCAAGTTTTCGACAGCGGCCTCTCCCCCCCCTCCTGAGGCACTTCTGAATACCCCAAAAACTGCTGTTTTCGTACTTTTTGCATTCCCCCCCCCCATTTTATCCATGAAGGAGCACGTTTTCGACAAAAAAACATTCTATACATTTTTAAACTAGATTAAATATGGTACAATTTTACTCCACTCCAGAACAGGCTTAGTTAATTAAATAATTTACGAGATACTGATTTCAAATTTTATTTTCTATTTAAATTATTTTTAATGACAATATCTTGTAAACTATTTAATTTACTGAGTCTGTTCTGGTGTTAAATTGTAGCATATTAATCTAGTTTACAAAATTATAGAATGATTTTTGTCAAAAACGTACTCCTTCATGGGTAAAATGGGGGAAACCGAAAAAAAGTGCGAAAATATAGCACTTTAGGAGGTTTTAAAAAGTGATTCCGGAGGGGACGAGGTCGAAAACTTGGATTTCGCATCTCAGTCACATCCCATACCAGAAAAAAAAAAGAAACCTATTCTCATTCAATGTGACCCCACTTTCCATGACAAGTTACTGGACTATTTAGTTTACTTTTAGTCATAATTTTCCAGTAATTTAGCTGTTATAGTATATATTGTTTTTTATACGTTGATTTTAATAGTGGTTCACCTGGCCGTTAACGTTGCTTGTTTCATCCAAGGAATTGAACCCTAATGATTCCACTGATCAGTTTTTAGCAAATTGAATCTATTTAAATTGTTTTATTTTTTTGTAATAGACACATTTAAAGTTGTATTTTTTTTTTTTAAATATATACAAAATTCTTGTAAGTGGACACAATAGATTTTTAATTAAAATCATTGGGAACAATATATAAATTGTCTTTACTCTACAACTCTTTCATTCCATATAATCGGAGGGATGGAGGAGGGTTATCATTATCTTTCTTTGTTCTTAATTTTATTGATTTAGTTGTCCTTTACAATGTTTATGCCATTAAAACATCTAAATGCACTTATTTTGTAGTGTTTTTCTAACATTTAAAGAGATTCTTGTGTAATTATTAAATTAAGCATATTTAATAAATAGCAATAAGCTGATAGTTAACTGCAAGATTGTTCCGAGACTCTTGCACAAGACCAAGACCACCTCGGTCTCGCATTTGGGCAACACTACTCATTACCCTGCCACTGAGATAACCCCCTCCCATATATATACAATACACATATGTATATATATAAATATTATTTATTTTTTAATACAAATATTTTATTTTTTGTTTTCTGTGAGGGTCCAAATTATTATGTTGTTTCAGTGCAATTTGAATAAATACTAAGGTAGGCTTACTTATGTCTGCAAACCTTAACATTCGTAATAAGAGGATGTCTCTTCATAACATTAAAAATATTTTTAACTTCAATAAATTTTCATATTAAGAATATCTATTTTTTTAATGAATTCCTATAAGTTAACAATAAAAAAAAAAAAAATTGTGCAGTGTTTTATTTAAATGACAAACGACAAAAGTTATTGAAATAATGAATAACTGAAGGATTTGAAAAAAGCAATCAGTAACTAAAATATATTTATTTATTGTTTAACTGAACATTTATATTTGTAGTAATATTTTTACTTTCAGTTACCTATATATGCAATATATAGTAAGGGTAAGTATTGTGATCGTGAAAATTTTTGAGTCTGAATTATCAACGGAAATACATGTTTTGAGATCTCCTGAGTCCAAATAACCAAGTCCCGCAAAATGTACTTTGCCCAGGTTTCAGATACTGCTATTACGTGGTGAAAATTATCTAGGAAATATTTCTGGAATTCATCAAAGTGGGCATTAAAGGATTGTGCATTGACGTTACAGGAGTTTAGGATATTAGTCATAACTGAGATGTTGAGAAGGAGATTTGTGAGGAAAAAGGTCGAGGAAGGAGAGTAGGAAATAACAGTTTTTTAACAAAATATTCATTTTTGCAACAGAAAAGAAAATATAAACATAAAATAAACTTTGAAAAGAAAGAGTTAAAATTATATAGACTCAAATAAAAATAAATATAAAGAATTAATTTATGATGTGAAAAAATATAAAGATGGCTTTGGTTACAATAAATTATAAAAAAAACAAACATTTAGTCAAATGAAATTCCAGCTATTTAGAACGAAAATGAAGAAGGTAACTCACAAAAATTAAAATATTTTTGATGGGAAAGAATTAAATTGATACAAATTTTGGGAGACTTACATACGAAATTCATATAAAAACGTCCAAGTCGCTAGATTTCCCTATAACTATAGCCGTTTATCCGTCTGACTGTCTGCATCGAATTTTACCACCACTAAACCACACGTATTTTATCTTTGCCGTCATCTTTTTTTGTCTGGCTAACCAGTAGAGATGTTTATTGACGGGTGTCATTGCTTCGCTCACGTAAACTCGGTGCGAATCATTGCCCCCCCAGCCTAGATGGCGTGTAGAGAAGTCTCTTTTCGTTCTTCTCTGCTACAGCATTTCATCTCTTGTTGTTTGCCTAACGAAGCGAGCAATGATAGGGCCTCGATTCCCTTCCTGCTTTGGTTTTAGTCTCATTTCGTGATCCAGATCGTCTGGACTTAACTTGATGCCCAGACCCGCTCCGACGCTAAGGAGGGTCCCAGTCACAGTCTCACCCGGCTTTTTTGGAATTCCTCGAATTTCGATTATATTTTTTAACTGATATTAATTAGTATAATTTAACCGAATTTCCAGCTCCGATATTTTTTTCTTTAAGGTGTTATTTTCGAAAAATAATTTTTCTACGTGGTTTTTCTGCTCTTCCAGCAGGGTTTCAGCAGGACGGAGCTCTCAGGGTGGGAGGTGGATTGAAGTATTCCACAATCGAAGAGAAAACTAAACACCCGCTGCTGATACCTTAAGACTCTCATTTAGCAGTCCTTTTGTGTGATCATTACCACAGGTATTCCTTGCATGATGGCCCCCTGTTGGTCCAGTCTCTCATTCATCGCCAATTTTGGATACCTTCTCTAAGAAGACTCGTTAGAAGCCGGATTTATAAATGTGTTACGTGCCACAAAAATAAGGTGAAACCACAGGCTCCAAAAATAAGTGACTTGCCGTCTTTCAAGGTGACCGAAGGTCATTCCTTTCAGGGAGTTGGAATAGGCTATGGCTTCAGTATGAAGGGGCCGCCATAGTCTTTTTTTTTTTTAGCTTCTTTAAGAAAACTTTATAAAAATAAATAGACACAAAAAATAAATATGACTATTTATAGGGATGAAATCACTCCTGTATACTAATGTGTTAACTATAATTTAAAATTATATATAAATAAATCTGGTGACGGTTTATCTAGCACTTGTGACGGACATATCCACTCCTTCATTTATTGCCACATTAGATAGGTTTATTGCCAGACGTGGTTTGCCTTCTCATATTTATCATGACTGTGGAACAAATTTTGTTGGAGCATTCAAGAAGTTGAAGGAGGCTTTATCAATTTGTTAAGGGCCAGAGCAAACCCATTTCTGACTATTTGGGTAAGACGGGTATAAAGTGGACCTTTACTCCTCCAGCATCTCCTCATTTCTGCGGTATTTGGGAGGAAGCTATTAAATCTGCTAAGAGACACGTTCTCCAGGATCATGCGTTAACTTATGAGGAATTTTATACTCTTCTTGTACGAGTTGAAGCCGTTCTCAATTCCCATCCTATCTGCAACATTAGCAGTAAGCCATCGGATAACCTGGATTACCTTACCCTAGGACACTTTCTTATAGATCAACCCCTCCTAGCCAGAAGAGAACAAGAAGACGCACCTGTGTTTCCTTTGACAAGTCGTTGGGAGATGATTTCCAAGACTCTACATAATTTTTGGAAGAGATGGTACAATGAATATCTTTTTTTTTTCAAGTTTATTTATTATCAGCCAATTTTACACCAATGTTTAAATTTTGTCAACTTAATGACTACACATCTCAATTACGACATTTCGGCTCGTCGAGCCATTTTCAAGTCTAAATACCCATCATGTACTTGTCCTTTTCACTTATGCGAATTACATGGGTCTACTCATAATAAAATCTTTTTATTCTTGGACATGACAAGAATAAAAAAAATTTATTATGAGTAGACCCATGTAATTCGCATAAGTGAAAAGGACAAGTACATGATGGGTATTTGGACTTGAAAATGGCTCGACGAGCTGAAATGTCGTAATTGAGATGTGTAGTCATTAAGTTGACAAAATTTAAAAATAGGTGTAAAATTGTCTGATAATAAATAAAATTGAAAATAAATAGTATGCACCTAAGAAAAAGTGAGAAATATTGTGAATAATGAATATCTTCATAATCTGGTGCCTCGCAACAAGTGGTATACTAATAGGGAAAATTTAAAGGAGGGAAACCTTGTAATTCTGCATGAAAAAGATGTTCCACTGAAGGAGTAGCGGCTTGCCAGGATAATAGAGACACTTCCACGGCCCGTCAGTGTAGTTAGGGTTGTAAAAATTGAGGACTGCTACAGCTACTTCTGGAGAAACCTTTTATTGATATGTATATATTTTTTGTTTAAATTTAATGACGAATCATTTTATTTTAAGTTAATTGTAAATTATTAGCCTAATTTCTCTCTTTCTTTATTGTAAACCAAGCATTTTTCCTCTAATTTGTGCCTTGCCCGGTAATCACCAATCTTTGAGTTTTTTTTCTTTTTTTTTTGTGAAATGAGATATTTCACAGTGGTGGATATGGTTGTGCCAAAGAATGGTTTGATTTTCCCGCGTTATGGCGAGTGGAGGGGGCAGATCTAAAAGATAACACTTAAGCCTAGTGAGTTTCTGGTTTGCTCGGCTCCACTTCTTCTTTGGCAGTAACGGAGACAGCACCACTCCAGCACTAGAAGTCACGGCAGATGCACGGAGGGTCCTCCAAGTAACCAAAGATATAAGCTGGCATAAAGACGGTAAGCTATTTTTAGCACAATCATTATAACCTACCAATCCCTTAATACAGTCCACTGCTTAAAATTAGAATTTTGCCCAAAATTTAGAATGTTGCCTTATCGAAACTCATGAGAGTTATTTGCCATAATTGGAAAAGTTGCCTAAACACCCAAAAAACAATTTCCCCAAATTGAAAATGTTGACTCTTAAAAATTTTTATTTCACTTTATCTCCGAAGCAAGAGCTAATCTGTCATTTTTATGATGATTTTTGAATTCAGCAAATGGAAATACATATGAATTGACTATTTTGAGCCCGAAACATTTTCATTGTTGCCTAGTGTAATTTGAGTAACCAGATATGAGTTTTGAAGGGGTTTTTGATTTCACCAATATCAAAGAAATTACAATTACGAATTTTATAGAATAAATATTATTTTCGTTTTATTTTATTTCTGAAATAGATTATAATAAGTAGCTACAAATTTATTTATGTCATTCCTAATATAAAATAAATGGATAAAAGCTGCTCAATACATCTGAAGATCTAAAAGGTCTTTAAAGCCAAAAGAAATAAAAATCTTAATTTCAAAACAGCCATAAATTTCTACCAAAAACCCAATTATTAAAAAATATAACAGAATACCTTTGGAATATCAGAAATGGGAAGAAAATCCTCAATCCCATGAAGCTTGTGTAGCTCGATTCTTGGGTAAAGGTTGCCAATGGTTTCATCTCCAATCCCCGAAGGCTTTTAAAAAAATAGAATGTTCATTATTACAAAAATGGATTAAAAATTATTTTTAAAAAATAAAAATAAAAATTGATACACATTTGAAGGTGTCCAGTAAACTATATCCCTTTTTCATTGTTGTGAATGAATTATTCTCTTTAAGAATATCAATGATTTTAAAACACTGAAAATATGGACATATCCACATTTATAACATACGGTTGTTAGATGTAATGGTTGTAAGTTTAGTAAACAAAGATTTGGAAAAATACTGTAATCTAGTGAACTTCAGGAAACCTAAACAGATGAACAGATATACTGTTTTACCCGTCTCAAATAAACTCATAAAAATGTAATTAAATAATAAAGCTGAAGGATTTAAGTAAATTTAATAACAGAAGAAGTTACTAAGAATTCTAAATGATGTAACAATCTAAAAACATTTCATATAATTTTTTGAAATTAGCTTCTGAAAACTATTTCATTATTCCAAATAAAACAAATAGATAATCAGACGACTGAAATTTTAATGTTCATTAGTGTTTCATAGTCATCATTTAAAAATACTAAATTTCAATAATACCAGCATCTAAACCATCATAATTATTACAGACTGTTGGGAGAAGTTTATGTAAACAGATAAAAGAATTTCATGAAGTTACTAAACAACTAACAACTTACCTTTGTTTCTGCCTCAATTCCATCATTGGTTAATACTGTTTCATCTTCAGTACTCTACATTAACAAAAAATAACTCCTAAATAAATTATTTAATTATAAGTTATTTCTAAATAAATATAATTCAATAATCAAAATAAAATAACAAATTCAACAATAAATTGTAGAGAAATCATAAGATGAATAAAAGAAAAAAAAAATGACAGTTTTTCAACCAAATATTTCTATTATTATTTATTTGATATAAAATACAATTAATACTCAAAGTATAGTCCATTGTTTTCTACCGTCATTAACCATCTGCTAACCAATTGCTCGATCTCATGCTGATACCATTCTTTGGGATGGCTGTCAAAGAACTCTTGGACCGCAATTTCAACTTCTGCAAAATTATCGATTTTTTTCCCTTGAAGAAAATGGGCCATGGATCTAAATAAGTAGTAATCCGACGATGCGAGGTCTGGACTAAATGGTGAATGACGCAGGAATTCAAACCCATAAAATTCTTTAAACTTTTCTTTGATTTGATGAGAAGTGTGAGGACAAGCTTTATCTTGTTGGAATAAAATCCCTTTTGGGTTGATCAAAGCAGGAGAACGCTCAAACAACTTTGCTTATAATCTTTCCAGTTGTTTGCAGTAGAGTGCAGAATTCATAGAGCGTATAACAGGAACAAATTTGTGATGAATAACACCTTCAAATTTCCAAAAAATGCAAAGCATGGATTTTTTTTTTTTTTTCAAATTGTCTCCTTGCAGCAACTGCAAAAGCAGTTTGACCGTGATTTAGCCATTTCTCACAGGTGACAATCTTCCGGTAAAATCTCATATCAGAAAGGTTTTTCAATAAATTTTCACAAATTTCTAACCTCTTAGCTGATTGCTGAGGAGTAAGTTCATGAGGGATCAGTCTACTACTTCTTTTCACCTTCCCTATCGAGATTAGATGGCAACTAACAGTATTTTTTAACACACCACACTCCCTGGCAAGTTCGTGATTATTTGTGGACAGATTTGATTCAACAGTTTCCTGCCCAGAGTCCTTCCTTTCCAGCGTCATATCTTTACTGGTTAATTTATCAAACCACTGCCGTGCAGTGTACTGGCCAAGGACACTGACACCTTTCCCTTTATATTTAATCATTTCAGGAGTTACTTCAGTGGCTGTGAATTTTTTTTTTCAGTAATGCCTTAAAATTAAGAGAAGTTCGTAGGACACTGTCATGTTTCTTCTTTGAAACAAATAACTAAAGTGAGGCTTTTTTTGTTGAAGAAGTAGAATGGGAGAGCTTAGAGAATGATCTAAAGGGATTATAAAGTATTGGTAAGTATTAAAATATTTACAGTTCTTTGAAATCTTGAATTTGATAAAACGGTCATTTTTTTTTTCATACACCCTATTATAGAGCCCAGCCTAGAGACGGGCAAGTGAATCGAGAATCGAATCAAATATTTGATTCCTCTAAAAGAATAGTACTCTTAAGTGAGAATCGAAATCGGTCAATTCACTGCGATTCTTGATGACATGCTAGAATGCTCTCAGTCCTTCACTAATACTCACCAAGTTTGTTCTAGGAAATCTTCCAGTCATGTTCCATTTTTTGCTGAGTTGTTTTGCATTTACAATTTGTTCTAAAGGGACATCAGTCCCAGGATAATAAAATGAATTTTCATTTCATTTACAATTTATTAACACATATCAAAATCTAATATGTAAAATAAAAAATAAAAAAAATGTTTTCCGGTAAACTTTAAACTTTCTTCGTATTTATAAGGTTTGTAACTTCTGTTCTTCCAATCAGTTTAAAAATTAAAAATAAATGTTTTTACCCGAATAATAATTTTATTTTTTTAAAAAAAGGTCTTTTTTAATTTAAATAAAAAAAGATGAAAAGAATCAATCTAATTATTCATAAGAATCGAATTTCCCATTTCTTGTCCAGCGTATGATGGACAAAAATTACCATTTCTTTTTCTTTTCTCGACTTTTCTGCTTTACAGGTTTTTTTTTCTGGGCCAGGGGAGAGGGTGGGGGATTAATACCAGAGTTAAATGTCTGTGGCACTGGGATTCGAACTCATAATCTTTAGGTTATCAGCCCACTCAGCTACCCTGTGCCTCAAATCGATTGTTACCCTTTCCTACTCAGTCCTAAATAATCAGACTATTACTTTCAGCTCATTTTTTAAAACCTTGGAAATTACTGTTGAACAAAAATTGTTCTGGAAATCTCATATCACCAATATTTTCTGACAGTCAATAAGTACATTCAAGTAATTCAATAGCTTCCATCATTTTCTTGCTCACCCTATATGCAAGGAAAGCTCCTTGTATTCTCACTTGTTTTCTCTAACTTTGATTATAGCTATGTCTATTTTATATTACAAAAACTCCATTTCCCCCTAACATTCTATGGTGTGTTTCAAATTTCAAAATATATATAAATATAAATAAATCAAACATCAAACCAATTATAAATTTTCTTGAAATCTATATTCTATTAAATAAAATATGTATATTAAAAAATCTAAATTATACTGGGCAGCAAGATGTCGGATGGCCAAATGACCAACGACTTGGGCATAAGAAAAAAAAAAAAAAAAAAAAAAAAAAAATATATATATATATATATATATATATATATATATATATATATATATATATATATAGAAATAAATAAAATTTTTATTTTATTGTATTTTTTATTTTCATTTTTCATGTTTTTAAATATTTTTTCATTTATTATTCTATTTACAGGCGTTGATGGCCCAAAGGTTTTACGCCTTTAAAGAAAAAACAAACAAACTATAGCTATGCACTAAACAGTGGCCTTTAGATTGTACTCGAGGGCAGATAGAAGAGGATCATGAACAGGTCTATAAGATTTGTCTTCAATACTTTGATAATCTACTTCTATGGCAAGTTTAAGTGGCTCTTTTTCCTTCTCCCATCGACAATATTTCCTTGGATCTTTCATATACTACGCTCTCAGTTCTTAGCATGCATCCTATATTTACAGTTTTAAAAATTCAAATCCATCATCCACTCACAGAAAACAAGATCCCATGTTTCTGAACTATATAGCCCTTCCCACAGAACTAAAACCTTTGAAAATTCCTTTCTAGTCTTATGGAATTTCCTACCGTCTAATATGCCATGCTTCTTCATGAAGCTCTTCATTGTCTACAAGATTTAAACAGTCTACTGGCTCGGTGGGCACGATATCATCAAAACTACGATTATTGAGTACAGCCCTGACCTGGGAAGGAACACATGGCAGCTGATGCTTTGTTACGTACTGTAAATAGTACAGTTTCAGACCTCAACCAGCAGTGATGATTAATGGAGAGCAAGCTGATCTCTGGTATCAGAACATAAAAAAAAAATTATGGAAAAGCCTGAAGAGTCCCCGACTTGACAGATTGCTGATGGACGTTTGATTTTTTGAAAGAAATCATTTAAAAGTTGGAGACAACCAATGGAAACTTATGGTCCCGAAGGACTAGAGAGAAGAGAGTTCTCAAATGATACCACAAAATCCCAACTGGAGGACATATAGAGGTGGACAAGACAAAAAGAGAATTGCCCAATATTATTTCTGGGCAAGCATGATTTGGGATGTTGCTAAATTTGTAAAAAAAATTGTCCCACCTGTCACACCATGAGGACGAAACAGAAAGCTCCAAATGGCTCGACCAATCAGCATAACACCCATACCTTCAAAATCCTTGCAAGCAGTTTCCAAAGATTTTATGGGTCGATTACCACCTTTGTAACAAAATCTTTATTTGTTGGTTTTAACCGTTTATCTCACCAAATTTATACTGCTTTTTTCATTAAAACAATTGAGAGAGAAAGAACCTGTGCTTAAGTGAATTAAAAATAAGGAAGGGAATATATTGGGTTGGCAAATAAGTCCTTTCGGTTTTTCAAGACTACTTTATCGTAAAATATACATTTTTCATCTCCTGTTACCAACCTTTTCAAAAATGGATCGTTTTGTTGCTGTTTCCGTACTGAATCACAAACAGAAATGTGTGTTGCCAAGTTGACTTCGGTTAGAGAGTGAGGGACCCAAACATTAAGCCTGGAAACATAGCCAAGCTTGTGCAGATGGTTTTCTACACTTGTGTGCGACACATTTAGGGCTATAGCAATCTCTATCACTGATTGGGTGGGATTTTTTATCAACAATGGCCTTAACATTGCTCGTTTCAATTTCATGTGGGCAACCAGAATGTTGAGCATCATTGATGTTAAAATTTCCTGAATAAAATTTGGCAAACCAATTTTGACAGGTGCGTTCGATTAAGGCATCATCCTCATAAACACTGCAAATTTTTCTATGAGCTTCTACAGCATGCTTACATTTTTTTTAAAGAAAGGAGATGGTCCGGGATTGCGGTCATAAATAGGCTAAATAGTGGTAAAACTATTTTATTGAAAGCCAACGTTTCGACCCGACTTTGCAGGTCTTCATCAGGGCTAGAACGGACAAGATACAAAAAGATAGAGAATTGTGGCAATTACATAATATTTAGACATAATTTATAAACAATGTGAATAAGCTTATTAAAATTATAAACATTAAGTACAATAAAATATGCACTAAGTAAGCTGAGTAACAAGATCCTAAACTAAAGTAAATAGATGCTAACAATTGTTGTAGTGTAATATATAATAAATGAAAAAGTGAGTATAATTCTACAAAATCTATAGGAGAAAAATAAAATTAGAGACTTACAGGTGTGTTCATCTGGGAGTTTCACTTAGAACTGGAAAGGCAGGGATAAGGATTGCAGGTATAGGGGAAGTTAACATGTGTTAACTAAGTAAACTTTGAAAAACCCAGGAAATTACAGTATCTAGGAATTTTTGAAGATATGGATGGATACAATGGAAAAATACTATATCTATGAAATATTAAATTATAAATATATAAATATACAATCCCGTTAATCACAAAGTAGACAAAAACAGTATTTCTCTTACATATAGACACATTTTAAGTCTTATAAATGAAAAATAACTTAAATATTCTATTCTATTATTTTCATCTACTCTCAATTTTTATTAATTAATTCATTTAATTGTTCATTATTCTAAATATTCCTTCTTTGTATGATCTCTCTTCTATTTTATTCTAAATTTACATTTACACTCTACACCAATGTATGATCATCCTTTTTCCCACTTTGTATTAATTTTACTTATTAACCATGTCTCATTATCTAATATTCAAATATAATTTTCTTACATATGTACAACCAAATATAATTATAAGTATTAATTTTTTTTCCCTCTCTATACTTTTAAGTTAGATCTGCAATGTATGTATGTTAATGAAGTTATTTCTATATTTATATTTTACTTTTGCCAATTTTGGGTTTATTCACATTGTACTCTGATCTAGAATCATGAAATACCTCTCACATCTCTCAACTCTATTTTATATGTATATTTATATATTTATAATTTAATATTTCATAGATATAGTATTTTTCCATTGTATCCATCCATATCTTCGAAAATTCCTAGATACTGTAATTTCCTGGGTTTTTCAAAGTTTACTTAGTTAACACATGTTAACTTCCCCTATACCTGCAATCCTTACCCCTGCCTTTCCAGTTCTAAGTGAAACTCCTAGATGAACACACCTGTAAGTCTCTAATTTTATTTTTCTCCTATAGATTTTGTAGAATTATACTCACATTTTCATTTATTATATATTACACTACAACAATTGTTAGCATCTATTTACATTAGTTTAGGATCTTGTTACTCAGCTTACTTAGTCCATATTTTATTGTACTTAATGTTTATAATTTTAATAAGCTTATTCACATTGTTTATAAATTATGTCTAAATATTATGTAATTGCCACAATTCTCTATCTTTTTGTATCTTGTCCGTTCTAGCCCTGATGAAGACCTGCAAAGTCGGGTCGAAACGTTGGCTTTCAATAAAATAGTTTTACCACTATTTAGCCTATTTATGACCGCAACCCCGGACCATCTCCTTCCTTTATAATGGAACGGTCAACTATTAAATATTCAATATTACATTTTTTTTAAATAATACAACAAAATATGCTGGTAATGAATGATATTTTCTTCCATATTCACAGTGAAATAGCAAACACAAAGCTAAGCTAGTTTCAACAAAAGTTAACAGATATAGTTGTTGACATATTACAAACAGCACAAACAATCCACCTTAAGGATTAATTCATCAGATAAGAAGTGTATCATAGTGACATAAAAATAAACCGAAAGGACTTATTTGCCAACCAAATACTAACAAGCAATGAAGGAATCATGCAGAAATGGGCTGAAAACTTCAAGGAACTTATGGACAAAAATACTGAAGATGAAAAAAATCAGGAAGCTGAACGGTCGAATGCGATCGAGACGGAAGAAGATTTTATCAGGTGATATAAAGATTTTATATTGTTTCCTTTTGTTTTGGTTTTCAATTTTTTTATATATTTAGATATCTCTTTTTTCAATTCAATAAATACTATAAACATTCAAAAGAGGATTATTTATTTACCATCTTTAATCAATTGAATATTTTAAATTTAATATTGTTTTTTTTTATAGAGTGCTACAAATGGGTAGTTTCTCAACAAGCGTGTTTCATGTAATTATATTTCTCTGTACACATTTATTTGATGTATTCATACTAATACAGTTGTAAATATCATAATAAAAGTTTAAAAAAAATATATATATTGTTTTATGAGTATGCACTTTCACCTTGTTTTACAATTCTCATTTTTTACTTCATTCCCTTCATTTTAATTTTACTTATATTTCCCAGCATTGAGGAAACTCACCGGGGAAAGGTTTGTATTTTCATTGGAAATATCCCTGACCCCAACACTACTTTTGGTTTTGTTTTTTTTGTCGTATTTATTCTACATATTCCTTATATTAATCTCATATCCTACTTCCTTATTTCTTAAGAAGTCCAAAATATTAGGGCACAAAAAATAAAAAATTACTTACAGAAAGACATTACTGTGTGTTTTAAAATTAACAACATGGTTCAAATTATTAAGTAATTTAAGTTTTCCAATCATAATTACACCAAAAATACGTTGATGTAAAGAATATTCTAAATTACAACTAAAAACATGGTTCATAATGAATAATCTTGAAAATAAAAATATAAAGATTAATAATGATGTAGAGATGGTTGACCGTTGATATGATATGAGAAGGAGTTAGTTGAGGGTGCGGTCAAATAAATAAAAAAATTAAAAAATATAAATAATTTTAATTTTTGCCGACGTTTCGACCCACTTTGCAGGTCGTCTTCAGGGCGTAATTTGTGGTACTGCGGGAGGCAGTTGAAACAACAAGTGTTTCAACTGCCTCCCGCAGTACCACAAATTACGCCCTGAAGACGACCTGCAAAGTGGGTCGAAACGTCGGCAAAAATTAAAATTATTTATATTTTTTAATTTTTTTATTTATTTGACCGCACCCTCAACTAACTCCTTCTCATAAAGATTAATAATTCTATTGAATAAAGCAAGATCACTAGGAGTTTAAGACCTCCTCCCCCATTATGAGGCATGGGATTGATTGGTTATTAATCATTCTATAAATACAAGATATGTTTATAAACATTTCTTATTACAAACATTTTTAAAAAAACATTTTACTCTATGAAACCACTTTGTATCTATTAAAATAAACCTTCAAAAATATAAATTCATGATTACTAGTTTCTTTTAAAAAATGATTGAAATAAGATGTGTACTTACCTTATTCTTTTGGTAATGTTCCTCTATCTCTGAACAGGCTAATTTAAACTTCGCAGCTTTAGACATTTTACTCATTTTGACTTTATTGCTCATGTATTCCTTCAATTGAGCATGTTCAATGAACCCACTTGGAAAGAAAAAAAAAAATAATCAAACTACAATAATAATAATAATAATAAAGACATGGTTATTGATTCCTGAAGATACTCTAAAATCAATGAAGGTACTTGAATTAAGCTGGGAACTTCAGGAAATCCACAAAGTGGTAATGCTGGGAACTGCCAGCATTGTTCGAAAAAATTTTAATATTTCAAATTAAATAGTCAATAAACTGTGTACCCTTGACCTCGGTCCGGCTCAGTGAATTTATCTGGCATAAAGCCGAGAATTGAAAAAAAAAATAAAAAGTAATAATTAGAGTGCTACCAATGGGTAGTTTTTCAACAAGTGTGTTTCATGAGATCATATTCCACTGTACACATTTACTTGGTGTATTCATACTAATACAGTCGTAAATATCATAATAAAAGTTTTAAAAAAAAATAATAATAATAAAATTTTATTGTTAGAAAATTTTTGAACATCTAAAAAAAAAAATTATAAATATTAATATGAAGGTGGCTGGACTTCTGGTCTCCCACCTCAGAAACTGATCCCGCAAAGCAAGAATAAAGAATGGAAATAATAATAATAAGAAGAAAAAAAATAAATAATAATAATAACAACATTTTTTTGTTAGAAAATTTTTAAAGTATAAAAATAAATAAATATCAATATGAAGGTGGCTGCACTTCTGGTCTCCCACCTCAGAAACTTACGCCGCAAAGCTAGATTGAAGAATGGAAATAATAATAATAACTAATGGGACATGTACAAAAGAACAACCTTATGGCATAAGAGCAGATTGGATGTAAGTGAAACTCTAAGGGATGTAAAGAGCTTCTTGTAGTCGATTCATTCATAGCTTATCAAGTATAAAAAGGTCGCGCAATATATCTCTTTCGTGGATTGACTATTAGAAAGCATTCGACTCAGTCCCTCATGATTGGTTGATTGAACTTCTCAGGATTTATAAAGTCAATCAAAAGGTAATAGAAATATTGCAACGACTTATGAAGCTATGGGAAGTATCATTGGTACATCCAACTAAAAAGAAGCACATCGTCTCAGAGAACATTCCCATAAAAAGAGGAATATTTCAGAGGGATTCGTTAAGCCCTTTATAATGGCCCTCGCAATTAATCCTCTAAGCTCTATTTTAAATAAATCTGGAAAAGGCTATTTTCTCACTCTTTTTATATGGATGACTTAAAGCTCTATGTAAAGAACGGGAGAGAGACATGAGAACTCTTCTTGAGTTGGTAAGTTCATTCACTGAAGATATTGGGATGAAGTAAGGAATAGACAAATAAGCAACCCTTAATGTCCACAGAGGAAGATATAAGGATTCAGCTAATACTGAACTTAAAAATAGTGATGTCATCAAGCAACTTCAGTTAACTGATTCCTACAAGTATCTTGGTATCTCACAGCTGCTTAAATTCAAAAAAGAGGTCAAAGAAACTTTTGAAGAAGAATTTAAAAAACGGGTCAGGATACTCCTAAAAACTAATTTATCGACAGGAAATTTAATAAAAGCCTTGAATACCTGTGCGATTCCTGCTGTTACATATTCCTTTGGAGTAATAAAATGGTGGGACATGGATTTGGAAAAGATGGATCACTTATTAAGGAAGAAAATGATAAAATCACGGCAATGTCACCCAAATTCTTCAGTGCCAAGACTATATTTGCCTAGAAAACATAGAGGTAGAGGACTTATTAGTTTAATGAAGGCATGCTGTGAACAAGAAGCCAGACTTAGAACCTACTTCATGAATAGTACTTCAACGGTGCTGTCGACCATTGCTGCCCTTGACTGCAACTATACTCTCACTGAATATGCTTCAGCAAAAACAAATGACAATGCTAACTAAAAAGACAAATAACAATGCTAACTAAGGAGATCCTCACAGAATCATAGAAGTGTAAATCACTTCATGGAAGATTTTATAATTCCCTGAAAACACCTGGTATAAATTTAGAAGCCTCAATCCGTTGGTTGACTACAGGAAAAATGTTCCCAGAGACAGAGGGATTACTTCTGGCAATACAAGAACAGGTAATGGCAACATATCCTCCTACAGGAAGTATATTCTACATGAAGCAGTCGATGACAGATGCCGTCTATGTAAAGCCAGAAATGGATCGATTCAACATGGTACCTTTTACTGTCAAGCATTGCAGCTAAAGAATAAAGAATACTTAGCGAGACACAATAATGCGGCAAAAATCGTGCATCAGGCTCTGGCACAGAAATATAAATTAATAACAGACCATCAGCCTTTTTATAGATATCAGCAGCAGGGAATATTAGAAAAAGAAAATGTCAAGCTATACTGGGATCAAACTATGATAACTGACCATAGTATTCCCCATAATAGACCAGATATACTGCTCGTTCACAAAGAAACAAAAAAAGCCATCATTATCGAAGTTGGAGTTCCTGCTGATGATAATGTAGCTAAAACATTAAGTGAAAAAATTCGGAAGTATCAAGGTGAGGAATTAAGGCAGTTATACCGGCTGGTGGAAGTAAAAGTACTACCCATTATGGTATCCAGCAATGGCCTGATTCCTGAAGATACTCTAAAAGCAATGAAGGTACTTGTATTAAGCTGGGAACTTCAGGAAATCCAGAAAGCGGTAATGCTGAGAACCGTCAGCATTGTTCGAAATTTTTTTTAATATTTCAAATTAAATAGTCAAATAACTGTACCCTTGCCCTCGGTCCAGGTCAGTGAATTTATCCGGCATAAAGCCATGAATTGAAAAAATAAATAATAATAAGAAGAAGAAAAAAAAAAGAAATCTCAATGTTGCTTGGATTGATTTCCAAAAAGCCTATGATTCTGTACCGCCTAACTGGCTTATTGAGATTCTTAAAATTTATAAGATCAATAACAAAATCATCGACTTGATAAAGAGGCTGATGGACAAGTGGAAAATGTGCTTCTCGGTACCACAAGACAAAGCAGGAGGACCACCAATAGCTATCAGAAGAGGCATATTTCAGGGAGATTCATTGAGTCCTTTATGATTTTGCCTAGCATTAAATCCTTTGAGTCAGCTATTGGGACGAATCGGGCAAAGGATACTTTTTTAAAGATGGAGTGCAAATTACTCAAGCTATTTATATGGATATAAAATTATATGCCAGAAATGAGAAAGAGCTGAGGAATTTATTAGAGCTAGTGGGAAGATTCAGCAGGTATATAAATATGACTCTCTGGTTGGAAAAATGTGCGGTAATTAATATACACAAAGGCAAGCTAAAAGAAGTTGAAAACATTGAACTCTCGCATAGAGAAATAATAAAGCAGCTCAAGGAATCAAACTCCTATAAATATATAGGTGTAAATGAGCTATTAACAATGAAGGAAGAATTATGTGAAATATTTGTTGAAGGATTTGAAAAACGAATCAAGATTCTCCTGAAAACACATCTTTCATCGGGTAATATAGTAAAGACTATAAATGCATGGACTATTCCAGTGTTGTCATACACGTTTAGAGTTTTGAAGTGGACAGACACCAGCTTACAAGCGTTAGACCATAGACTGAGAGGGCTGATGACTGCTACAAGAAAAATACATCCAAAATCTTCAGTTTCTAGACTATATCTCCCAAGGAAACAAGGTGGAAGAGGACTCATTAGCCTTTTCAAAAGCTGTTGAGAACAGGAGATGCAGTTAAGAGATTATGTTGTCAATTGCAAATCGCGATTATTGACTACTATCAAGGAATTGAACCTAAACTTAACTGCATTAAATCTTGCAGCTGAGCCTAAAAAGGCAGTAACCAGTGAGGAACTGATGAGGGATTGGAGCAGCAAACAGCTGCATGGAAGGTTTTGCAATGCCATCGCTTCAACAGGCATTAATCATTCTGCCTCTGTGGCATCAAAAAGGAAAACTATTTCTCGAAACAAAGGGTTTTCTACTTGCCATACAGGACCAGGTAGTGGCAACTAACTCCTACCGAAAGCATATATTAAGTCAGGACATTAGTGATAAATGTAGACTCTGTAAAGGAGTGGTTGGAAAGTGGTTGGAGAAAATATCAAAAGCTCAGCGAGGAACTGAAACAACTCTACAGCTTAAAACAAGGAAAAGTGTTGCCCTTCATCATCTCGAGTAACAGATTGGTCCCAGAGGAAACAATAAAAACCTGCAAAGTATTGGGACTTCCAGATTATATCATAGAAGGTCAGAAAGCAATGCTACTGGGGACAGCCAGCATAGTCAGGAACTTTTTAAATATTTCATAAACAGAGCATAATCCTTGACTCATTGAGTCGTGGTATTTCCCAGCAATGGCTGAGAAAGTGTGAAATTCTGATAATAATAATAACCCGTGAGAAGTTGCTACTCTCCCATGGGGCACCTCCCCAGGTGGCGGATAGGGGAAATCTCACTAGTATGGTGGGTATCAGGAAATAAAATCCAGGTGCGACAGTTCCCAAATTGGGCGGCTATCTGGTCATTGTTTGTTCCCCAGGTAACCTGGCAGAAAGGTATAAAATGCACTTACCCATTAAATATTGAGCTAAGAAATAGAATATTAACCTCGGATGAGCCCGATACTGAAGCTGCATTGGACGGGAACAGTGGACAGCTTCCTTCAGGGACTAGTATTGTGAGGGGCAAGGAATTCAACAATGGAAAAAAAGACTTCAAAAGAAAATTGGCACCTTGAGGGAGCAAATTGTCATTATTTCAAATTGTATTCGTAATCCACAAACTGCAAGAGCCAAGACAAAGAAAAAGATAGATGAAATCATAATCCAAAACGTGGGTACAGTTATGGAAAATTAATTGACTGATAGACTGACGTTGTATCTGGATAACCTAAAACAAAAACTAGCAGTTTTTGCAAGCAGATTGCGTAGATGTTCCAACAAAATGAACGCCAGTTTTATAGGAATTTTGGACAAAAGGTGAAGACACAGAATAATTACCCTGAAGACATTGAAGCCTACTGGAAAAATATATGAGAAAAATCAACGAATGCAAGAAAAGGGCTAGG